TGAAAATGGACACTTTTTCTGCCGAACACCGCTGAAACAACGGAACGCCTGGCTGCCTCCACGAAAGCATGCGAACACCGGCCGTTCGGGAGATTGAGAGCATACGAAAAGACTTAACCCAGATAGCCTTCCCATGGAGTCATTTGTATACCGAAAGACTGTAAGAACTTTGACTCCATGGCGATTGAACTATGTGTGTGGGATCTGAGCGCTATTCGCTAATAATATGCACTCAGATCCAGGCTGTCTGGGGACATGTAATACGAATGGGAAATGTTCAGTTTTTATGTAGTTATATATTTTTATGTCTTTTATTATTTTATGTCTAAGATGGCGACTGGCTTTGTCCTGGAGTTAATTGAGTTACTTGGTAATTAACTCCAGAGCAGAGGGGAGGGAATCATAATGCACTGTGGGTAAAATCTGTGACTGTGTGTCTGGGATGTCCCCAGATCTGTCTGTAATTTAAGTCTCCCATTTGGTCCCCTAGGGGAGTGTCCACCAAGTGGGAGACCTGCATAAATACGGGCAGGTAGCCCACAGTAAAGCCAGATTCTGTTTGACCCTCAATGCGGAGCTTCTGTCTCGTTATTGGGGGGATTTCTTCTTCACGTTTAGAGACTGCTGGATGGAACGAAAGCCGCTTGGTGAATATTGCTGTTCGACGGTTACCAGCAGTTCGTGTATTGCCGTTCGGGAGTTGGAGCCGTTCACGGATCTCGTTCGGGAGATTGCCGCTTCCCCTGCATTTGGTTCGTGTGTTACAGAGTAAGCGAACGGAGACTGTACTGCAGCCGGGGAAGGTCTACTAAACGGCGGTTTGGCTTAAAGACACTAGAGGTGTCTTAACAGTGACCAACATCAGTGACTGTCAACTGCCTCTGTATTTGAGCTATACATTGTATATTAATTGTACATGACTATCAACTGCATCTCTCTGAGCTTTGAAAGGCAAGTGTAAACACACACACACACACACAGAATGCCATTGAGATATTATAAAAGGATTTTAGGGGAGAATCTGTGCTAGGCTGAGGCAATGACAACTTGTGTTTCCCCAGGAAAGAAATGGGTTAATGGATAACTGGAAATGACTTACTCACAGGAGATTTTTCCTTCTACAGAGCTACAAGACTAGCGCTAATGTATTCCCTTTAAGAATGACACTTACTCCTTCAGGGTCGTACCCAACTCCATTAATAAGAGGCTAGTATACTTGAACAGAAAACAGTCGATTCTCCAAACCAGCTTCCATTCGAGCATTGGGCCTGTTGATCGCTGAAAAGGTCACATATGATAAGATGCAAATACTCAGCTAATGGAACATTATCAATTCCATCTGAATGCTAAGAGGCCACTTGCTGACAGGCAGGAGAGTGATCCAAATGAGAGTGGGTAAAGGAGAAATTAGGCAAAGGAGCCAACAAAGCCATGGCTGTGCGTGGACTAGGAGCAGGATGGAGGCCAAGGTCAAAGATGTTCTACAGATCATTCCCTTTAGTACAGAGTGATATAGTTTGAAAAATGGTGACCAAAATGGGTATTTCAAAATGTTGCTCTGACTTATATGCCTCTGCTGTGCAATCATGCCTTTTGTATTATTTGGCAGACATTGGTCTATACAGGATAATGGAGTATGGGTAGCCAGTGGAGTAAACGCTGATTAACAAGACAGCATGGGAGATATACAAATGTGTAAACTGCTCCAGCAAACTCCACTAGTTTCCCAGGTTTATTATGAAACTTGCAGGCAGCAGTGTTTCCACCTTTCAGAGGTCTATCAAGTCAGACAGAAAAATGTACAATGATCAGCTACAACATTAAAACCACTGACAGGTGACAATGCTCATTGATGTATGTGGGGAGCAAATGCTAGCCTGCCTGGTCCAATCACACAGAAAAGCTACTCTAGCTCAATTTTATGAATCACTTGATGCTGTCCATGATAGAGAGGATCCAAAACAAACAGTACATTGCAGTTTGCTGCGTATGGAGCTGCAAAGCCACCAATGCTCATTGATGTATATGGGGAGCAAATGCTAGCCTGCCTGGTCCAATCACACAGAAAAGCTACTCTAGCTCAATTTTATGAATCACTTGATGCTGTCCATGATAGAGAGGATCCAAAACAAACAGTACATTGCAGTTTGCTGCGTATGGAGCTGCAAAGCCACCAATGCTCATTGATGTATATGGGGAGCAAATGCTAGCCTGCCTGGTCCAATCACACAGAAAAGCTACTCTAGCTCAATTTTATGAATCACTTGATGCTGTCCATGATAGAGAGGATCCAAAACAAACAGTACATTGCAGTTTGCTGCGTATGGAGCTGCAAAGCCACCAACTGGTCAGAGTACCCACGATGATGCTCTATCCATAGCCGAAAGCACTTTCAATGGGGATGTGAGCATCAGAACTAGGCCATAGAGCAATGGAATAATATTGCTTTGTCTAATGAATCATATTCTCTTGGAAGGGATTTGGCCCAACCAAGTCGATATTGCGAATTGGCAGTGACTCCCCTGCTTCAGTAACAGGGTGACCATCTCCTCAGGGCCCGCAAACTTGCTTGCCTAGTTTGGCGTGGTGGGAGAGCAGGGTCTCTGCAACATCCAACCTTTACAAGCACATTATTAAAGGGGTATGGGTTGGTACAAAAGCGGAGGTGTGTCAGGTGTCCAGGGATGACGTGGAGACGGCGTATTCCTTCTCGCAAATATAGCAGCCTGTCTCTTAGCCCTCTTTGCTCAGTTGTACTGTGCTTATGGTTATGTTCACTTCAGTTTGCCTATCCTACATTATTGGATTACCTGGTATCCGACCCACACATGACCCGTGTGGGTGGGGAGTGAAATCTCCAGTGTGCAATGATATTACCTGGATCTGAGAATGTCCAGACACAGGGGAAGGTATTTGTCAAACAGGATTGTCAGATTGGCTTTTTCTGATTGGACCTCCCTCTTGTCAATCCAACTGGTTACAGGTGGATTCTATCCCAGATCCGATGGATTGATCTAGAGAATCCCTGAAGAGACATATACATGTCAAAACACACACGGACATGAATGTTGAAGGTGCAACCAAAAATACAGCTGGTAAATATTTTGTATGAAAAAATATTGGGACAAAGTTCAAAACTTAGCAACTAGCAGGAACATCTAACTGGTTTCCATGGAGATGTCTCCACTTTTAGAATTATGATTCAACAATACACAAAAAAAGTAGTTAATAAAGGCAGACTAAAGTAGCCCTCAACTGCCAGTAGGTGGGTGTCAGCAACAGAGTGGGGAAGATTATGATGGGTTTCTGTTGGGATCTGGTGAGAGTGAGATGGTCTTAAGGTTTTGTATTGTTCACCATTCTCAATGGGATGATGGTCCCAGTCAAGATGTGTTGATATAGGAGACTATATTGCATATCTTTTGGATTCTCAAATGGTTAAAACAAAATAATCATTAACAACTTTTCTGGTAATCAAGAAATAACTTGCCATCAATCATCTCTGGCCTCCTTCCAAAAGAGGATTGAGATGTTATGATTAGGTAACTTCAGAGAAATTTGTCATTTTAGTGCAGGTTTGGAGATCTGCCCAGCCCTTGTAAAAGAAGCTTAAGAAGACCCTGGTTACATGTCGATATTTACCTGCTCTGGATACTGTAGCTGGAGTTGCAGTTCACAAATGACTGATTTCAAACACCAGATGCATAGTTGGGTTCAGTGGGATACGTGCGTTACTGGCTAATGTAAGGACCTATAAAAAGACACAATAATCAGCAAAGAGCAACATACCTGCCCTGTCACATGGAAGGCAAAAATTCTGGATAAGTACAGGCATAGGAAAAATTGCCTCTTTCTGTTTTGTTTTATGTTTTTCTTCCATATAACTAGTTTGAGACTGTTCAAACCTGACCCTGGCTCCTGTGTATCTGAAAAATACTTTGAGCAAATCATCCATGACCGTGTTCAAGGACTCAATCCAAATTGGATCAATATCTCCATCAAGGACAATCCACTTGGGTCCATCATGTGTAAATCCTATTAGGGAAAGAAATGGCACAACATAGTGCAAAACTGTGTATTTACAGTGATGAAATGTAAGACAAGTGACCACTCACAACTGTAAGATATTAAATTAGCCTTCAGTATATTTGTAGATGCAGGTTTGTTGAAGATCTTGAGTAATTGGTTTCTCCAAGTAATAAAAAGAAACAGCAAGGTATCCAGTTATAAGGCAACCAAGACAGAATATACAAAGTGTATTTATTAACTTACATTCAAGTTGACAGGTATCAGCATAAAAAACGTCCTATGCGTTTCATCCTGTTCAGGGACAATCCAACAGTTTTAAAACTAATCATAAAGTGCATATATCCCACCTCCCCCCCACAAGTCCTTAAATATCTTCTTTCCAGCGTGTATATCTCTTCCGATAGTTTCTTTTGTCTCCGTTCAGGTGTTTACAATCGCCTCTTCTTCACTTGTTCCGGCTTCCTGATGTCATCAGGTGGTAACGCCATGCGGTTCACATGTGCGTTCCACTGTTGTGTATCCGGATCTTCCGGTAATATAAAGCTGGATGCGTTTCACTTACATTCCATTCTGTAAATCTTCGGTTATTTCGGCTCCATATATATTCAATCCCCATCGCAGAACATGCAGAGGCTGGACCAAGAAACTCCCCAAGAGAGAGAGGAACTTTTTTAGAGAAGGAGCGAAACCAAAGAGAAGGGCTCCCTGCAACCAACAGTGGGAGAACAGATTCACCCCATTAGAGGAAATCCCAAATACCCCCCCCAAAAAGAAAACGGTTAGAGGAAAGCATATGGAGGGAAGAGAACCCGAGAAAGAGAATTTAGAGAAATCAATGGGAATATATAATTTTGCTAATATAGAGTTAACCACAGACGACAAAAGCCTTAAGGAAAGGTTTAAAATTCGCCCCCAGCAAAACAATGAATTATTTCCAAACATTTATAGATCTCCAAAAATACATCCGGAAAATGATCCTGAAAAAGTTTTTTCTAAAAGATGAGAAACAAAGTGAAATTTCATCTTCAAATGTAAATATAGAAGAAAAAGAAGGAAAGAAGAACAATTTTGTAAATCCATCCCACTTCTATCCTGTGGGTCATAATGGACACCATCGAGAAACCTTTAATAATATGGTCATGCAGGATCTAGAACAATTAAGTATGAAACAAACTAAAAACAAATTTAATCTAAGTAAACAAGAGGCGGCGAGTATCCAAAAATTACAGAAAATGGATAACATCGTCATCAAAGAAGCGGACAAGGGGGGTAATAGTCATTATGACCAAAGATTATTACCTATATGAAGCCAGAAGGATCTTAGGAGATAGGGATAAATATTCTATATTAAACCAAGACCCCACAATACATTTTAATCAAACTTTAAAGGAAATATTAATTGTGGCACAACAAAAGGATTTAATTTCCAAACAGAATGTGGACTATCTTTATAATACACATCCAGTTATCCCAATTTTTTACTTTCTCCTGAAACTACACAAACCCCCCCCCCAAAAAAAAACAGGAAGACCCATAATAAGTGGGATAAACTCCATATCATAATTTATAGATGATCATCTTCAGAAATATGCACAGGAGGCTCCCTCTTATTTGAAGGATTCCTCTCATATTCTCAAAATCATTGAAAATGTTAAATGGGAAAGAGATTACATATGGGTTACAATAGATGTAACCTTATACACGGTCATTAAGCACGAAATGGGGGTAAAAGCAGTGGAAAAAATAATTAAAGAGGACACAATGATTTCTCATGATCTAAGACATTTTCTAATTGACAGCATAATTTTCATTTTAAATCACAATTATTTTGTATTTGATGGCACATTTTATTTACAACAAACAGGCACGGCCATGGGGACCAGGTTTGCCCCCAGCTATGCCAACATATATATGAGAAACTGGGAAGACAGCTCCATGTGGAGGCATAGCTGGGTAGCAGGTCCTGTGGAAACCTGGTTCTATGGAAATGTTTCATAGACAATATCCTTTTAATCTGGAAGGGAACATCGAGTGAACTAATTAAATTCCTAGTTTATTAACATCAATAATTATGGCCTTAAATTCACACATACTTTTCACACAGGGCAAATACATTTTTTAGTTATCACGTTTTATATAGATGGTCAAGATATTCAATCCAAATGTTTTTTTTACATAGAAAAGTTGTCATCACAAAAACTGGCTAAAATCTATACCTAAGATCCAGTTGATTTATGTTCGAAGAAACTATGGAAAAGACTCTGATTATCAACAATAGGCCAAACATTTATGTGATAAACTCATATAAAAAAAATATGGGAAAAAAAACACTTAAGAGAGAAGCCCAAAAAATAAAAGATGTAAATAGAAGTAATTTAATAAGTAACAATAAGAAGAAAGAAAAAGTAAAAAATGACGATTATAAATATGCCTTTATAACTCAATACAATGTACAACATCATAAAATAATAATCATTCTGAATAATCACTGGAAAAATATTACTAAGAGATCCAATGTTAGGTAAAGTTCTTCTGGGGAAGGCACCTGTCATTTTCAGAAAAGCAAAACATTTCAAAGGTATCCTGGCACCAAGTAAGGCACTTAAACATGCACAAAAAAGTACTTTGAAGAAGGATAACAAGGGTTTCCATTCTTGTAACAAATGCAAAGCATGTAGAATGCAAAGATTCCTAAAGGTGAAACAATTTCAAATTACAATAACTGGGAAAGAGTTTTTTTTTTTTTTTATAGAATCCAAAATTAATTGTGAAACCAAAAATGTAGTTTACCTACTCCACTGCCCATGTGGAAAGCAATATGTAGACAGGACCTGTAGAAAATTAAAAGAACGTATTCTAGAACACCAAAACAACATTAGAAAACATTTTAATAAGCATATAGTCCCCTTACACTGCAATATGTGTCCAAAATTTTATTGGAAAAATTTTTACTTTATTAGTTTGGAACAAGTGGAGAGTCATTGGAGGGGAGGAAATATAATTAAAAAATTAACACAGCGAGAAACGTACTGGATAAGTACCCTGAAAACTCTACAACCAGGGGGACTAAATATAGATATTGATTTATGGTGTTTTTTGGATTAAATGTATGGAAATGGTTAAAATTTCATATGCTAATTTTTATACATACATAGTATTTATTTTTTACATAATACTTAACCATATCAATTTTTTCTATTTCCAACCACATTTTTTCCATTTCCTTACAATTTTTTTTCCATTTCCTTACAATTTTCTCATACATGGTTTCACATTTGGCAATTACAATTAGACATATGAGGCTAAGCAACAAACTCTCCGCTTTTCATCTGGATGTCCATTAACCAAGAAATAAGAATTAAATGTATGCATTAGTAGGATTCTGGTGATACACAGAAAACTAAGTTTATGGTCTATTATTAAATCATAAGAAGTAGAAACTACAATTTGGACATTCCAGGTAAGAAGTGGAGAAATGTAAATAGGCTTTTCTAATTCATTTATAAGTTTTTAAAAATTATGTTGCTCATTTTTTGTTTTACTTTTTTAATGATATGGAATACATTTGTTTTAATTATATGGAATCAGGTTGTTGTAATAATTTGACATATTCCCACACCCCTCCTTTATCTTATGATATATAATTCACTGAATTCATGGACATTGAATATATATGGAGCTGAAATAACTAGAGTTGAGCGGACACCTGGATGTTCGGGTTCGGCCGAACTTTGAAAAAAAAGTCTGGGTTCGGGCTCGAACTTGACCCCGAACACGAACCCCATTGAAGTCACTCTTGGGCACTAAAATGCCTCTAAAAAAGTCCTGGAAAGGGCTAGAGGGCTGCAAAAGGAAGTAAAATGGGGCTAAGAGTAGGACAAGTACCCTGCAAACAAACGTGGATAGGGAAATCACTTAAAATAACATAAAATACATAAAAAATTTAAATACAGCTGAGCCATAAAATAGCACTAGATGGAATCTTTGATTTTAGCTTTGGAAGAACATAAATCAAAATCTGAAGCATGGCTGTCAGGAGTATCTCCAGAATTATCCATTTGAGAGAGGGATGGAGTGCAGGGTATTCTCTTTCATTGTTCAAACTGACCTCAACTCCTGATGCATGGAGAAAAGGTCTTCACAAGCCTCTGCTATTGTGTACATAGTTTATACTTCGTGACCCATAGGTTGAGGAAGCGGTGACCATGGCGGTGTTTTTATTGGGGTAGCCCCCAAAATATTGGGATATATAAAAAAGAAAACAAAGAATAAGTGCACTTGAGTATAACAATGGCTGGGTGAGGCTGATATAAATGTCTATTCTACACAAGGTACAGACAAGTCTGCTGGGATCCATGCCTGGTTCATTTTAATAAACGTGAGCTTGTCCACGTTGGCTGTGGACAGGCGGCTGCGCTTGTCTGTGATAACGCCCCCTGCCATGCTAAACACACGTTCAGACAATACACTGGCTGCAGGGCAGGCCAGCACCTCCAAGGCATAAAGGGCAAGTTTAGGCCATTTTCCCAATTTTGAGACCCAGAAGTTGAATGGGGCAGACCCATCAGTCAGTCCGTGTATGCGTGTGCACACGTAGTGTTCCACCATGTTGCTGAAATGGTGCCTCCTGCTAAGATGTTCCAGATCAGATGGTGGTGCTGGTTGTTGTGGCGTGCTGACAAAGCTTTTCCACATTTCGGCCATGCTAACCCTGCCTTCTGAGGTGCTGACGGTGCCCCAGATGCGTTGGCGACCTCTTCCTCATCCTCTGCCTTTGCCTTGTGCTTCCACTGAGCCCCCGGTGTCAGTTGGGAATGCCCTCAGCAGCACGTCTACCAGCGTGCGCTTGTAGTCGCGCATCTTCCGATCACGCTCCAGTGAGGGAATTAAGGATGGCACGTTGTCCTTGTAATGGGGATCCAGCAGGGTGGCCACCCAGTAATCAGTACAAGTTAGAATGTGGGCAACTCGGCAGTCGTTGCGCAGGCACTGCAGCATGTAGTCGCTCATGTGTGCCAGATTGCCCAGAGGCAATCACCACTCAAACAGGGCAAGCACCGAATGACCCGGCTTTTGTGTCTTTGCAGGGGAAGATCAAGCATTTCACCTCTGTTGGAGGTGTATCGTCTGTGTCCTCCGTATCCCCCCAGCCACGCTCCAATGATGCCCATGAGCTGTGTTGGGTGCCACTCTGCTGTGAATACGGTTCCTCCTCATCATCCTCCTCCTCATCCTCCAGAACTGTGCCCTGGCTGGACAATTGTGTACCTGGCCTATGCTGGTGCAGTAACCCACCCTCCAAGCCACTTGTGAATGACTGGCCTGATAACCGTGGAAATGACCCCTCTTCCTCCTGTGCCACATCCTCCTCCATCATCGCCCAAAGCGTTTTTTCAAGGAGACATAGAAGCGTGATAGTAAGGCTGAGAACGGCGTCATCGGGACTGGCCATGTTGGTGGAGTACTCTAAACAGTGCAAAATGGCACTCAGGTCTCGCATGGAGGCCCACTCATTGGTGGTGAAGTAGTGCTGTTCCGCAAGGCGACTGACCCGTGCATGCTGCATCTGAAACTCCACTATCGCCTGCTGCTGCTCGCACAGTCTCTCCAGCATGTGCAAGGTGGAGTTCTGCCTTGTGGGCACGTTGCATATGAGGCAGTGAGCGAGAAGGCCGAAGTTACGCTGCAGCACAGACAGGCGAGAACGCCAAAAGCTTGCACAGCCCGTACTTTCTGCAGTAGCTCTGATATATCTGGCTAGTTTTTCAGTAATTTTTTCACCACCAAATTCAGCACATGCACCAGGCAAGGGATGTGCGTCAAACTGGCTAGGCCCAGAGCCGCTACGAGATTTTGCCTATTATCGCACATCACCAGGCCGGGCTTGAGACTCAGTGGCAACAACCACTCATCGGTCTGTTGTTCCATGCCTGTCCACAGCTCCTGCGCGGTGTGGGGTTTTTCCCCCAAACATATGAGTTTTAAAACAGCCTGCTGTCATTTCCCCCTGGCTGTGCTGAAGGTGTTACACTGCCCGGATGAGGTGGTGGTAGAGGAGGAAGAAGCGGAGTAGGAGGCAAAGGAGGCAAAGAGAAATGCCCTGCAATCCTCGGTGGCGGAAGGACATGCGTCTGTAACGGCATCCCCAGGCATAAAAGGGGTTAAACCGCCGTTTAGAGGATATTCCCCTTCCAGATACACAGGCAGCTACCAAAGACACCAATCCTCCGAACCGGAGAAGCATATGAATGCTGTAAACAGCCTAACCAGAACCATAGAAGAATAGGAAAAACCATACGAAAGGTTTAGCAGTGTAACTGGAACAGCATACAATAAATCCCCCCCAAGAACGATACAAAGCTCTGTGTTGAGGGTCAAGCAGTGAACAGACAGAGCTGTGGGTTTATTGTTCTTATATACACATTAGTACCACCCACAGGGTTTTGGAAAACAACCAATAAATACGTACAATACACTCCCACACAAAATCCTCCCCTCTGCCTGTGATACAATAACCTTACACAATGGGTAATGGGTAATGTAATTATCACAGGCAGAGAAATACAGTTTTTCCACATTATTCATAACTTTAAAAGTGTGCATCACATTCACATAATACACATTAAATTTTCCGAATCAGCATACTCCAACCACAAACATACGTCAAAATCACACAAAGTGGTCCAGTGGTTCAAAAGATAGATCGTAGTCCTTTGTAACCAAATGAAGCATGGCTTTTCTGCGCAAAACCAGTTCCACAGAGTGTTCTATCCTGGAGATAATTGGGAAGTAATACAATTATCTCCAAGGACAGAGACACTACTCCATTGAACACATGGCAGCAAAAGACAATAAAATACATAAAAATATATAACTGTGCAGCCATTGCATAAAACAGGTACATTCAACATATCCCCAGATAGCTCAGATCTGAGCGCATATTATTACTAAATGGCGCTCAGATCACACACATACAGTTCAATTGTCATGGAGCCAAAGTCTTTCCCATGGTCTTTCATTATACGAATGGGCTCCATGGCATAGCTATCTGGGGTATCACCGCTCAAACAGGGCAAGCACCGAATGACCCGACTTTTGTGTCTTTGCAGAGGAAAATTAAGCGTTTCAACATGGGGCCATAGTCTCAAGGTAGCAGACGGGCAACCAGGGTCCTCCAATGCACAGTGGCGAGATTGGTCTCGTCACAGCGCCAAACTGCTTTCCGCCTCAGGTCCAGCCACTACTACATTTTCCCAGTGTGCAGTTAGGGAGAAATAACATCCCTGCCCATGCTTACTGGTCCACGTATCTGTGGTTATGTGGACCTTGCCACAGATGGAGTTGTGCAGTGCACACCTGATTTTGTCCGCCAATTGGTTGTGCAGGGAAGGGATGGCTCGCCTGCAAAAGTAGTGGTGGCTGGGAACCACGTACTGTGGGACAGCCACCACCATCAGGTTTTTAAAACTGTCCGTCTCCATCAGAACGAAATGACAGCATTTCAAAGGCCAGAAATGTTTAAATGCCGGCATTCAGGGCCAGGGATCGCGGGTGGGTAGGGGCGTACTTCCTCTTTCTCTCCAGTGTTTGGGAGATGGACAGCTGAATGCTTCCATTGCTGCCACATCCTCTGTTTGCTGGGTGGCAGGTGGAGAAAAAGGCAGAGACAGTAGCAGAAGAGGAAGCAGGAGGAGCCTGAGACCTTTCTTGGTTTTTGAGGTGCTTACTCCACTGCAGCTCGTGCTTTGCATGTAGATGCCTGGTCATGCAGGTTGAGCTCAGGTTTAGCACGTTTATGCCTCACTTCAGGCTCTGATTGCACAGCATGCAAACCACTCGTGTCTTGTCATCAGCACATTGTCAGAAGAACTGCCACGCCAGGGAACTCCTTGGAGCTGGCTTTGGTGTGCTTGGTTCCTGGGTGCGGTGGGCAGTAGCAGGCGTACCATCTAGAGGACGGCTGCTCTGCTTTTGCACCCTGCTCCCTCTTATGCTGTGCTGGTGCCTCGGTCGACCACCGCCTCTACATCCAAACTGGACACGTCACTCGCATGACCTTCATTCCATGTGGGGTCTAGGACCTCATAATCCTCCACATCCTCTTCCACCCACTTCTCAACCCTGCCCTCCTTGCAGGGTTGGCACAGTAGTTGGCACCTGTGTTTCGTCATCAGAGACGTGCTGCGGTGGTCCTTGCATGTCCACATCCTGACACATAAGTGGTTGTGCATCAGTGCACTCAATCTCTTCCACTTCTGAGGCAGGGCTAGGTGGATGGCTCATGCAAACCCCACCAGCAGAGTCATCAAAAAGCATAAGAGACTGCCTCATGACTTCTGGCTCAAACTGCTTGGCTGATTTGCAAGGGGGTGAGGTGAAAGACATATGGCCATGGGTTGCAGGTGCCAACTCTGAGCTTTCAGCAGGGGAATGGGTGGGAGACAATGTGCAGGAACTGGAGGCACTGTCAGCCATCCAATCTACTATCGCCTGTACTTGTTCTGGCCTCACCATTCCTAAAGCGGCATTCGGGCCTACCAAAAAACACTGAAGGTTCTGTTGCCTACACGCACCTTGTGCGTGTAGCTGGCACAGATCAACTACGTCTTCACCTTGCAACAGGAGCTCCAGCGACACCAGCAGCATCACGACCAGGGCCACATCCCTTATTTGACGCTCTCCTCATTCTTTGCGTTCACCCACCAAACTAACAGATGGTTTATGTCAGGCGACAATGTCAGTACCGTCAATAGTCAACAATTTTTTTTTTTTTATTTTTTTTTTTTTAGTTTATTGGACAGCAAGACATGCACTGCAGGCTGCAAATGTAATATTTAGCAGCCAAAGCACTATTTGACGGTTCTATTTGACTCTCAGATATGAAGTGCACCCCACTAATGTACTATTTAGCAGACTAGCACCCAGAAAATAAGAATGTTTACAATTGTGCAGTAACCACAGTATTTGACGCATCTATTTGACTCTCAGGCACCAAATGTACTATTTAGCAGTTTAACACCAAAACAATCAGAATGTTTTCAATTGCGCTGTAACTGCAGTATCTGACTCTTCTATTTGACTCTCAGATATGAAGTGAAGGCACGAAATGTACTATTTAGCAATTTAGCACCAAAACAATTAGAATTTTTATAACTGCGCGGTAATCACACTATTTGACGCTTCTATTTGACTCTCAGATATGATGTGCACCCCCAAAATTTACTATTTAGCGATTTAGCACCCAAAAAATTGACTTTTTAAAACTCCAATGTAACCGCCGTATTTGACGCTTCTATATGAGTCTCAGATATGAAGTGCACCCCACTAATGTAACACCAAAACAATCAGAATGTTTTCAATTGCGCTGTAACTGCAGTATCTGACTCTTCTATTTGACTCTCAGATATGAAGTGAAGGCACGAAATGTACTATTTAGCAATTTAGCACCAAAACAATTAGAATTTTTCCAATTGCGCTGTAACCGCAGTATTTTACGCTTCTATTTGACTCTGATATGAAGAGCACGCCCCAAATTTACTATTTAGCAGTTTAGCACCAAAACAATTAGAATTTTTATAACTGCGCGGTAATCACACTATTTGACGCTTCTATTTGACTCTCAGATATGATGTGCACCCCCAAAATTTACTATTTAGCGATTTAGCACCCAAAAAATTGACTTTTTAAAACTCCAATGTAACCGCCGTATTTGACGCTTCTATATGAGTCTCAGATATGAAGTGCACCCCACTAATGTACTAGTTTGCAGAATTCTTTCCTAAGCTGTCCCTCACAGCTGCAGCATCCTCTTCCTGAACTAATAAGACATCATGTGCGTGCGACGATATGCGACTCGAGCTTATATATACAGGCTGGGTCACATGCTGCACTGGTCAATCACAGCCATGCCATTAGTAGGCACGGCTGTGATGGCTTCTAAGGGCACACAAGTCAAACACTTGATGATTGGCTGCCGTGCAGCCTTTCAAAACGCGCCATTAAATCGCCGAACACAGAACTCCAACCCGAACATACACTGATATGTCCGTGTTCGGGTCCGGGGTCCAAAAACCATAATGTTCGGTACGAACCCGAACTTTACAGTCTGGGTTCGCTCAACTCTAGAAATAACCGAAGACTGCTAGCTTGTAAATATTGAGCAGGCATTAGACTAATATGGTGAAGCATATGAGCCGTGCTAGGTGATATGTTTAGTGCATACGTGAGAAAAGGATGTGTGGCAATATTTCTGAGTTCCTCTTCCTCCACCTCCCCTGCTGTCTCACAAGATGCGGGATTAAATTTTTCCATTGTAAATTTAGCTTAGTGACCTATTCTTCAATACATTATATACTAAAATAGTTTCAGCCAAACACTGTCAGGAATCTTACCTGATGTGGAGCCCGGTATGCAGAGATATATGCTCACCCTTGCAAATAAACACAGACCAAGGTGACCAGATAAGAAACCACCTGGCCTGTTAGTCTGTGCATGGGGGCGGTGCTGGATCTAGCTCCAAGTCGCAGTACAGGCAAGGACACAAGCAGGAGGATCGTTGAGGAGAAGCCAAAGTCAGAAGATGCCAGAGGTCAGAATAAACGAGGGTAAGCGAAGGTCAGGATAAATGAATATAAACTAAAATTGAAACAATGGGGGTACCAGCGCTAATATTGAAAGGGTATACAATGTCACAGACTTGTGAGAGACAATTTATAAACAGCTGCTACATCACCAAAAGCTTATTTTATAGAATAGAGATTTCGCTTATAATTTGTATCAGTGATTTTTCAGTGCAGAGAAAAGTTATGGATATAATAGTAAATATATATACCATAAGATTTATTTATCCTATATTGGGATCCTAATAGTAAGTATGTTGTTCCTTAAAAACACAAATACAAAAACCATATCATAGTGTAAACCGGATAATATAGTTACATAGTTACATAGCTGAAAAGAGACTTGCTGTCAGGAAATGTATTTGTTTATTACTGGCCCTTTAAGACGGCATGAAAGTACACACCCCTTGGTTATTTAAACTCCAATCTCCAATACCTCAGGGCACAATTAATGTGTTAATTTGCCTGATTGCATCAACCTCCTTACTAATCATTTGGATCACTCCTAGAGAGACCGTGTGTTCCATCACCGGACCCCTTCTGAATCTCCTCTTTATACCCCTTTGTCTTTGATTACCTGGTTAACTAATTCGGACTGGCCTTGACTCTGCCTTTGGAATTTCCTTCAATACTTCTAGATCTCCTATTGAACGACCTCTGACTGGATAAAGGACATTGCTTATGGACTAACCCTGGACACATCACCTAAACTTCTATTTTCAAGGTCTGTCAGTTTATCTCTCTGCTTTGCTGCCACATCAGTTTGCCGTGCTGAAACTGCCTCAAAATAAAAAGTGAGTGGTTCTTATTTTTTTTTTGGCATTTGTTAAAGAAAAAACATGACACTTGCGTCCATCACGTTCAGCCTTTCTCACATATGTTTTTGCTGTTGATCCAAAAGAAGGCAAAAAACCTAGTCTGAAGTGCTTCCAATTTTGCAACAAACTTGGAAGAAATTCCTTCTTGACCCCAAAATAGCAGTCAGATGTCTCCTTGGATCAAGCAGCTATTACCCCACTAATTAGAAATTATATCCCTGTATGTTATGTTTTTGCAAGTATTTCTCCAATTGCAGTTTAAACATCTGTATAGACTCTGACAAAACCATTCCATATCCTTATTGCTCTTACTGTTACAAAACATTTTCTTTGTCTTAAATGAAATCTCCTTTCTTCCAGCCTAAATGTATGACCTCATGTCCTATGTATAGCCCTGTTTATGAATAGATTTCCTGATAAAGGTTTTGTGGCGGAACCAACCTTGCCACTGTGCACTGGAGAAGCCTGGTTGCTCGCCTGCTCCCTTTAGATTATGGCCCTGCAGTTCAGAGCTGTTATTCTACCTGCTGAAAGGTTTATTCGTGCCTTTCTGCCAGGGTGTTCGGTAGATTCCATCTACCGAACAAACTACCGAACGATGGACCACCTGGGAGCTGGAGTGTGCCGTCAATTGACCGCCCAGAAGCTGCGGTTAACCGCAGCTTAATTGATGAACGCTGGGTGGCCTTTGTTCGTCTGCCGAACAAGTGGCAGCGGCCATTTTACCTCCTGTATAGGTGTTCAGCGCCCAAACTATGGAACTGAAAACGGACACTTATTGGCACGAACACCGCTGAGCCGCCAGCCTCCTTACCTTCCCATTCGGTTAGCAGAACCGAATGACTGTTCATTCAGTAGTTTCGCCGGATGAACAGCATCCCTCAGATAGCTAAGCCAGCAGCACACTTCTATCCTGGGTGGCCATCCGTTTGGTAGATTTGTTCGGTGAAAATGAGTCATTCGTATGGCTGGGCTATAGAAACAGCCATTTACACGAAGGGGGGCAGAAATAGACGAATCCACCACAATAGACAGACAGATGGTTCTGTCACAGATTTTAATTTTTAAATGGAAAAAGGTAGATTAAATTTCCCACTCACAATTTTAAGAGCTAAACGATTAAGCTCAATTAGTGCGCTCTTAGGGTCCATAGAGGCGACCCTCTCACTTCTTTGGGATGTGGTCTTTTCTTTCTTATCCTATATGGCAGATTGAAAAAGAACACATATGGTGCAATAACGTAGATCTTAACTTATATAAGTTGTAATGTAAAGGGGATACTTACAAACCCAAAGCCTTCCAAATAGGCTCAGATGAAATGGCATAAGGTTAAGGACCACACTCCTTCTTTCAAATAGCAGGAAAAAGTTTTTTTTATATATATATATATATATATATATATATATGTATGTATGTATGTATGTATGTATGTGTGTTTTAAGGCCATTTGGCCTGTATTTGTGGGAGGGGCTTAAATTAATTCACTCCCCTATATAAGGGACACCCCTTACCTGACTCATATCGCTTGAGGTCAGCATCAGAATGATTTCCACTTCCGGGTCATCCAGACGCCATTTTACCTGATTACTCCATGAGGTTTTCTAAGCTGAGCTGTGTCAGGAATTCAGCCACAGGCTTTTCCGGCCTACCACCTTCTTTCTTCAATCTATTGCTGTGGATGGTGTCCAAGTGACTCACACACCGTAAGTCGACCTACCCGTTACGCCAGGCATCAGTCCCACGGCACCATGCACGGGTCAGGTCCTCACTTTACGGCTGCATTTGGTCTAAATCTGTCCTAAAACCATTGCATGTTCATGCATATCATTCGTTTAAACTCACTTGTTTATATCTGTCACTGGCTCATTTCGAGCATTAGCATACTCCCAAAAGGGAACACATTCTGTTTCAATTGCCTAAACATACTAGGCAATTCTGTGCGTGCATTTCGAATCTCACTGCTCGTTTCGTTTTGTTTCCCTGGCATACCAGGCTCACGATTCGTGCAATTTTCTACCAAACGGGTACTAGTTCATGCATTTACTATTGTACTACACACACGTTTCGTGTGTTTACAACCCGTGAACAGAACTTTGGTTTGTTACAATGATTGTTATTAAGCTATTATGTTCACTTATTGTATATTGTCAAACGGGCACTGTTTGTTTCACAACTATAATGCTGGGGCATAGCTCACAAACAATGTTTCACATAAACCACACTGACCCCTACAGGTCACTCTCAAAATCTCACGTTAACCTTGCATTTGGATTAACCCCTTAAGGACCAAACTCTGGAATAAATGATATGTCACACATGTCATGTATCCTTCAGGGGTTAAAGGGTATTTTACCATACAATCAGCATTTCTGACCCCTACTGGTCAACAGCAAAACTGTCTTCACATGTCATATACAATTACCAGCCAATATAAATTACACATAAGATTGTTTTAAACATAACCATAAACCATGAATTAAACTCCAACACGGGCTCAACTTCAGGTTTAATTCACAATAATTTACATTTCACATTAAGACTAACAGTGGTTCTATCAACACTGCCACCTACAGGTCTGTCAAGTACATTGACAATTTTCATGGGGTTTTACAAACACCAAAACACTGACCCCTATAGGTCAACAGACAAACAACATTTCACATACCAATCAGTATCCAACTACACTGCCACCTATAGGGCACTCAGCAGATCTCCAGTGCACTTGCATTTTGCAACTCCATGTTCACTTGCCATTCAATAAGGCATACAACAATTCACATAGCAAGCAGTATATCAATATCTGTTATAAATACACATTATTACACAGTAGCACACGCATCTGTATATACGTAACTGGTAATATGGTTCACATACATACGGCACTTAATGGGTTAAGATTGATACATATTTAACCAGTATGGATATGATGTTTAATATTTACATATCACGGCACTTTACTTTCACATATACTGTATGTTTTAAGATAAGCTTGGTCTATGCCATATTTCCTTATGCCATACGATTTTTATCCATTCAGGTTACAGTTACTACTAAAAAACCTATAAGGATGGTTAGGTTCAATACCATACTACCAGGTACGTACACCTGCTCACGTAGTTATCCATCTCTTACCTTCCCTGGAATAGTAATAGTGTACCGGCAATTAGGGTTCTAGGGCCCAATAGGTATTACCCCCTTTTTTCTCTGCATTATGCTTCAGTTAGTGGTCCCGTGAGGCCAACACCCCGCCTCACACTCGGAGGCATACACCCCTCGGGCCACTCGTGAGCTAGCCGCCTCGCATTGTATCATAGAGAGGGCCTCACCTGTCACTCCCCTTCCTATTTTTCTGGTTACTGTCACCGAGAGGCCAACATCCTGCCACAACGTTCGGTGGCCACACAAAATCCCCTCGCGCCAAGCATAGATAGAGCCTCTCAAGCCACTTGGCAACTAGCAGGGCCTCACCAGTCACCAAAAAACACCAAGCCTAATCGTTTCGCCTTACGGCTTAGCTAGCAAGCCGGTACAAGACCCCTGGGTACAAATATATAATTGCAATCTTTATTGTTATTTAAGTATTTCTCAAAAAGATTGTAAAGAATCACCTCTTCCTAGCACCACGGCTAGAAGTGATACACCTTCATCTCTTACCTTCCCTGGAATAGTAGTAATGTACTGGCAATTAGGGTTCTATGGCCCAATAGGTATTACCCCGTTTCTCTGCTTTACGCTTCGGTTAGTGGTCCCGCGAGGCCAACACCCTTCCTCACACTCGGAGGCATACACCCCTCGGGCCACTCGTGAGCTAGCCGCCTCGCATTGTATCATAGAGAGGGCCTCACCTGTCACTCCCCTTCCTATTTTCTGGTTACTGTCACCGAGAGGCCAACATCCTGCCACAACGTTCGGTGGCCACGCTACTGTACAACCAGCACCAACCGAAACTCGGTTACCTGGTACAATCAATTCTTGGTACAAGACGTTAACCCTGCACATATGATGCCGGCACATTGTGGAAACAAGGCATAAATATGTATGATGATGTATCCCCAGGGATTCTAGGTAAATCGGGAACTGACCATCCCTTGGTTGTGTTGGCATTTGGAATATGTAGAGATGCTTATTTGTGCAGGTACCCATACAGAAGGGATTTTCTCCCAAACAAACGGGTGAGCACTCTCAGGGCTCCAGGTACCAGCACCTCTGAACTACCATAGACAATTGGTATTAGTAGTTGCATTGCATATAGACTGTTGCATATATGTTCAAATCATTCAGGGCACATGACAAACCATGTGTCCCAATACAACTTACAAATAACGTACTCTCCATCTGTATACACCAATGCATTTTCAACACTACTGACTCATCACCCTTCCAGACTTGTAGTAGAGTTACTAAGGCTCTGGAGCTTCAAAGGGCTCACATACAGGTATCATAAATAAACTCTCAAGGAATATAGCATGCCCTCACTTACAGTCAGCACAACAGAACTGTCGGCTGTAAACACACTCATAGCCAAGATTTGCAGAGGGGTTTTTACTTGGGTTTTCCAATCTCCACCATTTACAGCATGGCACCAAACACAAATGCATTGGTATTGTCACAAGGGAATCTTCCCTTAAACAAAGACTAACCATAGACTTATTGGCACCACACACCTTCGCTACCCCAAGTCTAAACTCCCTCATACCCTCCGAGGAGTTTCCTTACTATACACACCATTGATCTACCTTTACAGCTATCACTTAAGCAGGGGTTGAAGCTTCGTTAAGTAAGACCAATATCATCAACACAGTAAACGGCTATCATCTACCCTACAAACTGGCACTTACATGGCATAAAATGGGCAATCCTTTCCCCGCTAAAAGCAGCTGCTGTGGCATGGGGTAAATCATGGTCAGGGTCATCAATCCGTTGTTACTCAGACAACTAAGCACATGTCATATCATCAACAGATGCCACTCATCATCCATACGATCATGGTATTGCTGGGGAACTCACTTGGTTGGCCACTTACCACATTTCTTTTACTTTCATGTACCAGGCGTTGGTATACATCCTTGCCGACAATTGTCTCATTTATATTCCAGGCACGTTTATCATACGCTTCCTACAGCCTTATATACAGTCACGGCCACTCTTTCGTTCCAGAGACAAAATCATGGATTAGACATACTCATGCAGCATAGCATGCACTATCCCACCTAGCACTTTCATCCCATACTTGTAGAACGCACCTATTCACCTGGCTTTAAAGAATCTCATTGGAACACGACATAGCTCAACCTGTGTCATAACATTTCTCCTAGGTTTTGCTTCATTTTTTGCCACCTTAAACTAAAAACATCTCACACACGATTAATTATATATTTTACAGGCATTCAACAACACAGGATAACCTATGGCCAAAACTACCATAACTTCATGCTGTCATACCAGACAAGAATATACTCAGAGGTTTTCAGGAATCCATCCCCCCACGTTCCTCACAGATATTACCAATAGCCATCCAACTTTTCCATCCTTATTGGACCTATTAGAGCTACAACCTTTCAATTATACTACCAAGTTGGCCATTACCAGCCATGCACACTGCCTTTTATGCCTTTCTCAGGCCAGAGAATCCACTACCATAACCACCACTCAGACAGATCATTGTCTTCAACGATCCCACGTGTGTAAACACATATATCATTACCTATTGGCTCTACCACATTCCGAAACGAGTCAACACGCACCAACAGTAGAGATAACATACTATCCTACCCACAACAAATGGTGTCCAGTTGTGGTCCTAGATTCCTACCTTCAAAAATCCTTCAAGGAATTAAATACCGTAATGCATTTAAGGAAATGTCTGGTTAATTTGTATATATTGTTGACTGTATTAAATCTTTGATTATTCTTTTTGCCCTCTTTATTTACAGGCCTACCGTATCGTCGGTCTTGGCACACCACAACCGACTTGCTCCCTTTATACTATCCTACGCTTATGCTGGAACCTTACTCCATATACGGCTATTTGCCCCGAACACAAATATAAATATATATAGCGAAGCAGGAACAAGCTCTTAAAAGAGCCCAGTGATTATAGCCAGGGGAGTATACAGCGTATAGCAATCCCCAGTGTAGATGCAGCCTTTTCCCCCACACATGAGACAAAGCTTTATGTTGAGGGTAAAACAGGAACTCAGCAGTCTGAGGGTTTATTCTCTCTTTTATATACAGGTTTTCCCACAAGGTTACACAAACCCTCCCCTCTGCCTGTGATACAATTAACAAACACAATGGGCTAACTTAATTACTCACAGGCAGAAAACACACATTTTTCCAAATCACAGGAAACATCCCAAAACACCACATATCCCCTGATCTGGGTGAACAACATATCCAAATATCACCCAGATCAGAGCAGGGGTTCAAAAGTTTTCTGGAAGTCCCTTTTGACCGACCGCAAGCATGGCTTTCATGACCAAAATAGTGCCACAGATTTAGGCTGTGCGGCCAGTCTATCTTCTCCTCTATCCTGGAGAAAATTGGCTTAAAGGACCACTATAGTGCCAGGAAAACATACTCGTTTTCCTGGCACTATAGTGCCCTGAGGGTGCCCCCACCCAGGGGCGTTTTAGCTGCGAGGCAAACAAGGCATTTGCCTTGGGCGGCATTTTTCAGGGGGCGGCAAAAAAAGCCGCCCCCCAAATGCCCAAGGCAAATGTCTTGTTAGCTTCGCGGCTAACAGACATGCTGGGCGGCATTGGCGGGCGGCTGACGAGGGAGCTCTTCCTGTGAGCTGTCTGCTCAGCTCCCTCGCGCGCCGCAGAGTGAGGCTGGGAGCCGGGATATGACGTCATATCCCGGCTCCCAGCCTCACTCTGCGGCGCGCGAGGGAGCTGAGCAGTCCAGCTCACAGGAAGAGCTCCCTCGTCAGCCGCCCGCCCGCCAATGCCGCCCACCCAGCAGCCACTGGACCACCAGGGAGATAGAGAACCCCTTCCCTCCCCAGCACTCCCAAAGGTAAGGCGGCTGGAGGAGGAGGGGGGGTTTTTAAAAGTACGTGTGTGTCTGTTAGTGAGTGTGTCTGTTAGTGAGTGTGTGTGAGTGTTAGTGTGTGTGTGTGAGTGTTAGTGTTAGTGTGTGTGTGTCTGTCTGTGAGAGTGTGTCTCTGCTAGTGAGTGTGTGTGTGTTTGACTGTGTGTGTCAGTGAGTTTGTGTTTCTGTTAGCTAGTGTACGCGTATCTGTCAGTGCGCGTGTGTGTGTGTGTGTATTTAGAAGGCGGGGGGAAGGGATGGGTGGGGGTCGCACGCGCAGGGGGGAAGGGATGGGTGGGGGTCGCGCGTGCAGGGGGGAAGGGATGGGTGGGGGTCGCGCGTGCAGGGGGGAAGGGATGGGGGGCGCCTGAGTTTTGTCCTGCCTAGGGCAGCACAAAACCAGGATACACCACTGCCCCCACCCTCAGGGTCCCCCTCCCTCAGGGTCCCCCGCCCGGCTCTGGAAGGGGGAAAGGGGTTTAAACTTACCTTTTTCCAGCGCTGGGCGGAGAGCTCTCCTCCTCTCCTCCTCAGTTCCACCCCGTCGGCTGAATGTGCACGCGCGGCAAGAGCTGCGTGCACATTCAGCCGGTCGCATAGGAAAGCATTTACAATGCTTTCCTATGGACGCTGGCGTGCTCTCACTTTGAAAATCACAGTGAGAAGCACGCAAGCGCCTCTAGTGGCTGTCAATGAGACAGCCACTAGAGGCTTTGGGGGAAGGCTTAACCCATTCATAAACATAGCAGTTTCTCTGAAACTGCTATGTTTATTAAAAAATGGGTTAATCCTAGCTGGACCTGGCACCCAGACCACTTCATTATTATTATTATTGGGGCCAGCAATGACTACAGTACACATCAGCCCCACTATATAGTAAAAACCAAAGAAAAAAGTTACCTGCGCTCTCTCCTTAATCCCTATGTATATTTAGACAAATGGAGGTCATTTAGTTGCTCCAATGGCCATTGGAGGGAATGCCCGTCTGCCAACGTTAAGGCAGACCCCCCCTAAGCGGGTCCTAACACTGACCCTTCTGCCTGCTTCCTTGAGCTTCTGGCAAAGATATCTCTAATGAGACAGAGAGGGGTATTTTTATATACACCCCTATATACTTATTAACCCTTAATAGGGAACACATGGGATGGACGGCAGCATTGTAACAAGGCTGTGTGATACAAAGTAAATACAAATACAAAAAGAGAAGTCCTGCACTCACTCCCATCACTACTGGGCTGGCAGCAATGAAGCTCAAGGAAGCAGGCAGAAGGGTCAGTGTTAGGACCCGCTTAGGGGGGTCTGCCTTGACGTTGGCAGACGGGCATTCCCTCCAATGGCCAATGGAGCAACTAAATGACCACCATTTGTCTAAATATACATAGGGATTAAGGAGAGAGCGCAGGTAACTTTTTTTCTTTTCTTATAATACAATGTTTAACCTATATGTCCAACATATCCCCAGATAGCTTGAATCTGAGCGTTCAATATGTCTGTAAAGCGCTCAGATCTCACGAATACAGATGGATCACCATAGGGTCAAACAATAGAGCTGATGGGAGACTGAGGAGGGACAAAGCAATAGAGCTGATGGGAGACTGAGGAGGGACAAAGCAGCCAGTTTCAAGTGGTCTGGCAGTGTCCCTGGGACAACGTCCTGCTGGAGAACAATAGGACAGGAAAAAGGAGGAGGGGAAGAGGCACATTTTTCCATGGATTTAAAGGGGCAGACAAAGTGTTTTAAAATCCAATAAGTCCAAATAGACTTTTTAGCATGTTTTTTTTTTCAGGGCCCATAGTCTTTGGGCAAAAGGCTGGCCATTAGTCCTCTCCAAAACCCAGTGGCGAGGTTATTTTCGCCACAATCTCCTACCCCTAAGAGGGGTGTATATATAGCAGGAACCAGCCCAAGGAGGATTAATAAAGACTTTTTTTTTATCCAGCTGAGGAAGCCTATATGGCGAAACGTGTCCTGGAGAATTGTGAGACATAGACTCTATATACTGGACTTATTATGCCCATATAGTGTTGTTTTTTTACCATATATATTTTTATATTTTTTTATACTGATACAATAAAGTTTATATATATTTTTAACTCACTATCAGAACTTTTTCCTGCTATTTGAAAGAAGGAGTGTGGTCCTTAACCACATATGCTATTTAATCTGAGCATATTTGGAAGACTCTGGGTTTGTAAGTACCCTGTTTACCTTACAACTTACATAAGATAAGATCTACGTTATTGCACCATATGTGTTCTTTTTCAATCTGCCATATAGGATATTAAAGAAAAGAACACCACGGAAAGAAGGGAGAGGGTCGCCTTTACGTACCCTAAGAGCGCACTAATTGAGCTTAATCGTTTAGCTCTTAAAATTGTGAGTGGGAAATTTTTCCACATTATATTATACGGTTTACACTATGATATGGTTTTTGTATTTGTGTTTTTAAGGAACAACATACTTACCATTAAGATCCCAATATAGGGGAAAAAAAATCTTAAGGTATATATATTTACTATTATGTCCATAATTTTTCTCTGCCCTGAAAATCATCAATACAAATTATAAGTGCTTCACCATCACACTGGTTCGAATATAAGCTAAGGTCAGGAGCCATCTGAACTGACACTGCCCTCAGAGAGAGGCAGTGTTTTATACCTGGCTGATTTGACATCTGCTTCCGGTGGACTGAGATAGATAGGAGCAGCCACAGGAAAAGTCCAGCCCCCTAGTGCTGGAGACATAGCCAGGTAGAACAGCGCTATAAATACTCAAAGGAAAAAGGGCTGCTGTGGCTTAAAGGCAGCAAGATCAGCATCCAATTTGTACAGCTCTGGAGAAGCCAGATGCACATAGGCCATTAATGAGCCTTTGGTACCCAGTGATGGCACAGGTATGAGGGCAAAACACTTTTCCCCATTACTGGCAAATGTGGTTATAGTGCTCCTCACATCATAACCACTCATTCTGAAATGGTTATGAAGCTTGGAGTAACCTTTTTAACATTTTTCTTCTATTTTCCATAGTTGTAGTGCATTTCATTTACATAGTTTTTTTTTTTTCATAATTTAGAATAAATTGTTCAGACTAGCATGTAGGTTATTGTTGTTTAAAGTATTGCAAATATATGCACATAACATATATTCTTTGATTAGGTGTCCCACAATAGTTTCTGAGTGTAGCGGAGAGCTGGTATTACACAGCCTATCTCCACTTTAGATTTCAGGAACAAGCAATTATAAATCCATAGGGTAAAATATCCAGCAGGCAAAATAACACAGCAGTATCCCAACAGCAATCCCAATAACTGGACGACACACAGTATCAGGAGCAGAACTAAATTATTCACACAGTGGCCTTTTAAAGCCTGCTCCCATGCAAGGGAGGGATTTCCATTCATTTGTACAGTAGCCAATCCTGCTCTGGTAACCTACCACACATCTCCTCCCCTCAGCCTGCATCATAATCCCCTTATCCAGCACACCAATTAGCCCCCGTTTCTGGATGTACCCCTAAACTTAGGTGTACCACTTTAAATTATACATCCCCTGGTAGCCCTGATCTGGGTGAACAACATATCCAAAAATCACCCAGATCAGACCAGGGGTTCGGGAAATTCATGGAGGGAATAAAATGACCGACTGCACTGGAGAGAACAGCCGAATGGGGTTCCATGCGATGGGGCCCTGCGGTCGGTCCTGTGGTCAGGTAATAAACTGCACGAAAGCCTCTATCTACAGAGATTAGGGAGGGTTCGCCTGAATCCCCTCGTTCGGTTATTTCTATCTACCGAACGAGGGGCCGTAAGGTAGTTTGGAACCGAACGGACCGGGCTTGTGGAGGTCTCAGCGGTGTTCGCCTAGTCGAGTGCCCAATTTGAGTTCCAGACACTCGACGGCAAAACACCGCTGTTTGGGAGTTTTAAAATGGCCGCCGCCACGTGTTCGTTTCCCGAATGGCGGCCACCCCCGAGAACAAAGGACGGCTACTCAGCTTGTCAATTACCCGTTCGCAACAATGTTGCAACGGGTAATTGAAGGCACACTTCACACAGGGGAGGTCTGACTGTTCAGTAGTTTCATTCGAACAAACTAAGGGAATGAAACTACCTAACATTCAGACGAATACAATACAGTTAACACATAGAACTTTGCTATTTTACATGAATGCATTCAAACCCATGTAATTCTGAGGACAGCCCAGTGCCATCCACTACACTGAGTTTCTGTCTGTCTGTGATGAAAAAGTCTGCTCTATCATTGCGATATTAAAGAAACTGTTAAATATCTTATATTTGGTTATTGGAGTTAAAGTCTTCTATCTTGAATGCTATTTCCTTTAGTTATCTGTCTCTTTTCTCTTGTTTTTTCCTTCTCCCCTACACCATTTATAGCAGAATATACAAAATAAAATGTATCAAATAATTTCAGACATTTAAGGGAGAATGCCAAAAGATTTTACATCACTTATCTGGTTTCAGCTAGCAGTTTCTGGTCATTGTTCCTCTTTTCTCTCCTCCCCATTTATTCCTGCTTCGCTTGTTTTGTTCTCCGGTATCTTTTTCCTCTTTTTCTTTTTTTCTTATTTCTACTCCCGTCTTTGCCTCAGGGCACCATTTCTCCACATGGGGCAAAAAAAAAAAAAAACCTCTACATACAGCTTCAATCAGTAGGCATATCCCTGTACTTCCCCTTGTTTTTTAGTAATCCTGCAGGTTTACCCAGACTAGGCTTTCATAATAATCTGTTTAGCAGGAGGGAACAGGGAAAGGAAATTCACGGAGTTCATCCCCTGGTCTCCTTCTTCATATCACCTGTGTCTGGTTCAACTCCACCCGACCGCGTGCATGGCGTTGTGACGTCACGTCATGGCTTTCTCCGCCCCCTTTTTGCATTAGTCTGCAATATATTTCAATTCAAGCAGACTGTACTAATCTGCCACAATTGTCCTCTGTTGGTTAATGGCTCTGGGGTGTAACCACACTATGCAAATCTCTCCATTCAATAATCCCGTATATCGAATTTATTTCTTCCTATCTCATGAACTTTTCTGTCCTGCCCCACCTCATTATTACTCAATTGCACCAAATGAACTTAATTACAGCTCAATATTACTTCCGGTCCTGTTTTGATATTCCCACATTTGAACTGGGTCTTTTCTAAACATTTCCATGCTATAAACAACAAGCAAAATGACAGGTGGTTGGAAGTACAGCTCTGAGAAGTAGCTAATTTTTTGAAAGTGTCCTGTGGAAGTGATGAGCTGCATTTTGTTGCAATGAGGTGCTTGTAGTTGTTTCTCATTGCAGGCCACATGGAAGCTGCAAATGCCTTTTAAGTGCAGTGTTATAAAGAATAGACACCCAGCTGAAGTTGCTGGTAAGAGGATGATTCATGGTTGGCTGTCTGAGTCTTTTATAAACCCTGCTCTGTTCTCTTGTTGTCTATGTCAATGCATTGCACGTATACACGTATGATACATACAACAGGTGGATCACACGTCTTGATGTGTCTAAAAGAAACACAAAATAATATAGTGCAATATTGCCAATATATATAATAATTTGGTACAATATGGAGATTAAGTACTCACAAGCCTGGAGCCAAATAGTAACATGCAGTGGGACTTTTCAGTAGGATGTCCTCATCCTTCTTCTAGATGTTCCTGTGGTATATTCAGGATGAGTAGAATAAATGTGAGCTGTGCAGGCAGATTTTCTTCACAAAGATCTTTATTAATCCAGAATTAGTAAAAAAAATGTGCAGTGACACCAATAAAATCGGTATAAATGGCTAAAAACAAACAATGTCGCTGAATCAGTCCAAAGTCAGATATTTCCAAATGGCTTGTAGTGCCACTTGTAGTATAAGCCATTTGGTCCCACTGCACCACAGGAACATCTAGAAGAAGGATGGGGACATTCTACTGAAAAGTCCCACTGCACCACTCATTTACTTACATTTAATTTACTCCTGAAACCTAGGATACAGCAGGGAGATGGAGGAAGATGGAACTGAAATAGCAGCGGATGCAATGTCCTGCTCACAGTATTATTCATCATGCCCTTTTTTCAAATTTTCTGGGGCACCTTTCACAATTCATTGGCATGCACCAACATACATGTCAAGAACAACAATCTAAATAGCTCACGACATCTGCATCATCAACACTAGAGTTCGAGTTCGGCCTCGAACTTGACCCCGAACCTGAACCCCATTGAAGTCAATGGGGACCTGAACTTTTGGGCACTAAAATGCCTCTAAAAAAGTCCTGGAAAGGGCTAGAGGGCTACAAAAGGGAAGTAAAATGGGGGTTTCTACAGCAGCTGTGATATATCTGGGTAGTTTTCAGGAATTTCTGCACCACCAAATTCAGCACATGCGCCAGGCAAGGGATGTGCATCAAACCGGCTAGACCCAGAAATTCTACGAGATTTCGCCCTTTATCGCACACCACCAGGCCTGGCTTGAGGCTCAGTGGCAACAACCACTCATCAGTCTGTTGTTCCATGCCTGTCTACATCTCCTGCATGGTGTGGGGTTTTTCCCCCAAACATATGAGTTTCCCCCTGGCTGTGCTGAAGTTGGTGGTGAAGGTGTTACGCTGACTAGATGAGGAGGTGGTAGAGGAGGAGGAAGCGGAGTAGGAGGAGGCAACAGGAGGCAAAGCTGTGTACCCAAATAAAGATTATCAAACGTTGTATCCTGGAACTGTGTCCCATCCGGTTACTGGGGAAATGGGTCTGACCTATTCTAATCAAAGGGGATAACCATCGGTTACCCAGGTCCCACTTCAGTTGGTGGCAAGCGGCGGGATCCTATGTCTCTGCCAACAGACCCATGGACTACAGTGTCTAAAGCGACCTACACTGCAGGACTTGTGTGGAGCCAGAGGAATAACACCTGGTGGGCGTAACAAGGCCGAATTGACTGATGCACTCATGGAGGACGACCAGGCACGCAGTGAGGCAACGAACCCTAGCCAGGGGCTGGAGATGAGACTGGTCTTTCACAGGTTAACTCCACTAAAGATCCCAGTGAGGCTCAGGAACAAGTAATAAAATACCATAGAATAATAATCACAGCAAGCAAGGTAATCCACAAATATCCCCATACAGATCCCAATGACTGGATGACACACAGCATCAGGAGCAGAACTGAACTTTTAATCACTCAACCTTCTTTTAAAGCTTTCTCCCATTTACAGTAATTACACAATACACCAATCATACATGAGTTGCCATCCACAAATGCTCTCCCCTTAGTATGACTCATAATCCCATTATGCAGGACACCGTTCCCCTGGTTTTCTGGATGTACCCCAAAACATAGGGGTACCCCTTTAAATATTACATCCCCTGGTAGCCCTGATCTGGGTGAGAAACATATTAAAAAATCACCCAGATCGGACCAGGGGTTCGGGAAATTCCTGGAGGTAATAAAAAGACTGACCGAGCTGGAGTTAACAGCCGAAAGGGGTTCCATACATTTTGGCCCTACGGTCGGTCACAGAAACAGGGAATAAAATACACGAACGGCTTGGGTTATGGAGACTGGGGAGGATTCGGATAAACCCCCTTGTTCGTGGGGTTCTTTCTACCGAACGGGGAGACGTTCGGTAGTTTCTACACTAATTGACGGCAGTGTGGAGGTCTCAGCGGTGTTTGCCTAACTGAGTGTCCAATTTGGGTTCCAGATACTCAACAGCAAAACTCCGCTGTTCAGGAGTTTAAGATGGCCACCGCCACGTGTTCGTCTCCCGAATGGCGGCCACCCAGAGGACAAAGCACACACTGCACTGATTGCCAATTACCCATTTGCAACATTGTTGCGAACGGTAATTGGAGGCACACTTATTCCTGGGGTGGTCTGATTGTTCAGTAGTTTCACTCGCATAATAACTAGAGTGATTTTACTGAACAATCAGACGAATGCTGCATAGACTTTACATACATATGGCAAAAATTAACCAAACTCATACGAATACACATAATTCTGAGGACAGCCCAATTCCATCCACTACAAGGAGGAAGTGTGCAAGGAGGTGGAACGGCGCCTGGCATATTACCGAGAGCCACCCTCAAAGCAGATCGTCAGCAGGACCTTTTTGGAGGTACAAGCCTTGCCAAAAGACAGAGGGCGACCTCCATGAATCCAGATTAAGGAAGAAGGGAGCAGAGGGCGCTGGGAAGCACAACCACCCTGGCCCACAAGCTACCATACAATGCCTTCAAAGACTTCAAAGAAGCAGAAGAAGGCATCAATGACTTTTTACAAGACTTTGAGCGCCAGTGCCTACTCCAAGACATGGACCCCGGTGACTGGGTCACCATCCTGGCCAGCAAACTAGTGGGGAAGGCAGAGGATATTTAGCGGGCTGTACCAGAAGAGCAGATCAGAGACTATCCCTTTATTACACAAATCCTCCTGGCCCGGTATGCGGTCACCCCCGAGCAATACCGCTGAAAGTTTAGGGAGACCCGGAAAGGGGAGAATGCCGCATCACAAGGGCCACCCAGAACTGGCTCAACTCCCATTAAGCCAAGTTCCCGGAGGAGATCACCCAGCTCGTCATGCTAGAGCATTTTTTTTCCTTGGAGCTGGCTTTGGTGTGCTCGGTCCCTGGATATGGTGGGCAGTAGCAGGCGTACTGTCTAGGGGACGGCTGCTCCACTTTTGCACACTGCTCTAGGAGGAGGTGGATGTGGAGTAGGAGGTTGAGGAGGTGGTGGCGGTGTTGGTGGAAGCGGCGGTGGAGGAGGTAGCCAACACTGTTTATTTTTTTATTTTTTTATTTATTTTTTATTGGGGTAGCCCCCCCAAAATTGGGACATATAAAAAAAAAAGAAAACAAAGAATAAGTGCACTTGAGTATAACAATGGCTGGGTGAGGCCAGTATAAATGTCTATTCTGCACAAGGTACAGACAAGTCTGGATCCATGCCTAGTTCATTTTAATAAACGTGAGCTTGTCCACGTTGGCTGTGGATGTGCTAAACACATGTTCAATACACTGGCTGCAAGGCAGGCCAGCACCTCCAAGGCATAAAGGGCAAGCTCAGGCCATGTGCCCAATTTGGAGATCCAGAAGTTGAATGGGGCAGACCCATCAGTCAGTACGTGTAGGCGTGTGCACACGTACTGTTCCACCATGTTGCTGAAATGCTGCCAGTTGCTAAGACGTTCCATATCAGCTGTTGGTGCTGGTTGTTGTGGCGTGCTGACAAAGCTTTTCCCCATTTCGGCCATGCTAACCCTGCCTTCTGAGGTGCTGGCGGTGCCCCAGCTGCGTTGGTGACCTCTTCCTTCGCCTTGTGCTTCCACTGAGCCCCCGGTGTCAGCTGGGAATGCCCTCAGCAGCATGTCTATCAGTGTGCGCTTGTAGTCGCGCATCTTTCGATCATGCTCCAGTGAGGGAATTAAGGACGGCACGTTGTCCTTGTAATGGGAATCCGGCAGGGTGGACACCCAATAATCAGCACAAGTTAGAATGTGGGCAACTCGGCCGCAGGGTTCGATTCCGGAGAGGGAGCTTGAGAAACAGCTACCACATCCAAGGAAGGCAGCAGGCGCGCAAATTACCCACTCCCAACACTGGGAGGTAGTGACGATAAATAACAATACAGGACTCTTTCGAGGCTCTGTAATTGGAATGAGTACACTTTAAATCCTTTAACGAGGATCTACTGGAGGGCAAGTCTGGTGCAGAGCGACTGACCCGTGCGTGCTGCAGCTGAAACTCCACTATCGCCTGCTGCTGCTCACACAGTCTCTCCAGCATGTGCAAGGTGGAGTTCCACCTTGTGGGCACGTCGCATATGAGGCGGTGAGCGGGAAGGCCGAAGTTACGCTGCAGCGCAGACAGGAGAATAGCAGGAGGGTGAGGACATCGAAAGCGCATACAGCCGCTACAGTGAAACTGCGAATGGCTCATTAAATCAGTTATGGTTCCTTTGATTGCTCCATCTGTTACTTGGATAACTGTAGTAATTCTAGAGCTAATATATGCCGACAAGCGCTAGGGGACGGCCGCTCCGCTTTTCACCCTGCTCCCTCTTATGCTGTGCTGGTGCCTCTGTGCGACCACTGCCTCTTCCTCCAAACTGCACACATGACCTTCATTCCATGTGGGGTCTAGTATGAGGAGAATTGTAGAGGCTTGCAGTAGGGATGGTATGGAAAATGGGCCTTCAAGCTGTAGCGTTCAATTGTAGAGGCTTGCAGTAGGGATAGCTGCAGTATCATCTCCCTACACTAATAAGAGCTCATGTGACATGCGGCGCTACGTGACTCCAGCTTATATATAGAGGGTGGGTCACATGCTGCACTGGCCAATCACAGCCATGCAGCCTTTCAAAACGCGCCATTAAATCGTCGAACTCCAACCCGAACATACACTGATATGTCCGTGTTCGGGGTCCAAAAACCGTAATGTTCGGTACGAACCCGAACTTTACAGCTCGGGTTCGCTCAACTCTAATCAACACATCTCGCATCACTAACACTCTCACAATGTCATACCCCCTAAAACGTCCTTTACCAACACTACAGACAGTGGACTTCCCCTACTTTCAAAGAAGAAGAAAACAAACAAAAATGACACATTACCATTTAGAACACACAAAAAAAATACGATACACAAACCTATACATCCTGAAACCACTCAGAAATACTACCACGTATTCTCTTCTCAAGTATGTACTAAACATATCACCTAGCGCGGCTCATATGGTTCACCATATATGAGACTAATGCCTGCTCAATATCTACAAGCTAGCAGTCCAATACCACATCCACCAAGAGGATTTGTTTATTGTATCAATTCCAACCAATACCGAAATGCTCACGCCTACTGTCTTTCCATATGGGTTCTCGTTTTCAATTGCTCATCTAAGCCCCATGACCACCCTTTCAAACCCTTGTTTTGAAGCATGCAATCCATTTCAAGAAAAGAAAAAACATTTCCACATGATTCTATTATCAAGGTGTCTTTCAATTGTTTTACTTTCTATTGAAGCAGACCTTCCTTCAAATCTATCCTCAAATGAAAATGCCCTCTGCTGGTTGATCTGTGTATTACTTTCAGCTATATAGTTCAAATGAAGCAGACCTTCTAATCTCTCCTCAATCGCCCTCTGTTGGTTGATTTGTGTATTGCTATCAGCTAAAGATATGCTAATACCACTGTGCATTGCATGCAGAAAATTTCTCTGATATGTAGCCACAGTATGCAAATCTCTCCATTCAATAATCCCGTATATCGAATGTATTTCTTCCTATCTCATTAACTTTTCTGTACTGCCTCAACTCAATATTTCTTCCGGTCCTGTTTTGATATTCCCACATTTGAATTGGGTCTTTTCTAAACATTTCCATGCTATAAACAGAAAGCAAAATTACAGGTGGTTGGAAGTATAGCTCTGAGAAGTAGCTAATTTTTTTTTAATTTTTTTTTAAAGTGTCCTGTGGAAGTGATGAGCTGCACTTTGGTGCAAAGCTGTGCTTGTAGTTATTTCTCATTGTAGGCCACATGGAAGCTGCAAATGCCTTGTTAACCCCTTAAGGACCAAACTTCTTGTCATGTGTCCTTAAGGGGTTAAAGGCACTGTTATAAAGAATAGTTAAAAAGGATGTCAAGGTCAGCTGTCTATAGTTCTCCCAGCTAATGTTGCAGGTGAGAGGATGAATCATGGTTGGTTGGCAAGGAGACTTGTCTAAACCCTACTTTGTTCTCTAGTTTTCAATGTCAATGCATTGCAAGTATACACCTCCTAGTTTGGCGATATAATGGCAACATGCAAGAGTTACATTATTTTCTTGCTTTTAGTTTAATCCCACATCCTAGGAGACAGCAGGGGAGGTGGAGGAAGAGGAACTGAACAAGCAGCGAATGCAATATCCTGCTCACAACTTTATTAATCATTCTTCATTTCACAATTTCAAAAACAACAATCTCAATGGCACACCACATCTGCATCATCAACACAACTCTCATTACTAACATTCTCACAAGGTCCTATCCTTTACAACTTCCATCACCAAAACTAGACAGTTGACTTCACCTATTCTCGAAGAAGAAGAAAACAAACAAAAATTACACATTACCATTTAGAACACACAAACCAATACATCCTGAAACAACTCAGAAATACTGCCACGCAGCCTTTTCTCACGTATGTACAAAACATATCACCTAGCACGGCTCATATGCATCACCATATTAGTCTAATGCCTGCTCAATATTTACAAGCTAGCTGTCCAATAGCAGATCCACCCAGAGGATTTGTTTTTTATTGTATTCCAACCAATACCGAAATGCTTACACATACTGTCTTTCCATATGGGTTCTCGTTTTCAAGGGCTCATCTAGTTACAATGACCACCCTTTCAAAACCTTGTTTTGAAGCATGCAATCCATTTCAAGAAAAAAAACTAAAAACTTTTTCCATTAGAGGCAGAGACTAACCATCCATGGAGCAAGACGTGTGAGCCTTTTGCTCCCGTTCCCCTGGACATTCTATGCGCATCCATCTGAGCCTATAAGTGCTACCCTCACCCCAAAACCTCACCAGACACACCACAGGCATGGAGGAAAGAAAAAAAAGAAGGAATTTCCTCCTTCCGTGGCTTCAATGTTCCATCCACAGAGAGAACAAGGGCGTCATCTTTGTCTCAGGGCCAAGACACAGACTCAGAGTCGGACGACAGCGATGCATGGGAAGGCCCTAAAGCCTCACTCACAAAAACAGACATGCGCAGGCTCCTATGAGAAGCCACCAATGACATTAAGGCCTACACTGCCGCGGAGTTAGAGAAACACATCTCGGGCCTAAGGGAGGACCTGGACTTGCTCGCCTCGCGCACATCACAGGCCAAAACACACATCAAAGGCCTACTTGACAGAACAGGAGTCCACGAGCGGGATCTCAACCTGGCCTACGATAAAATCATGCAACTGGAAGACAGCGTAGAAGATCTAAATAACCGCTCCCGCAGAAACAACATCCAGATATGGGGCATGCCGGAAACCCTCACTGCGGACGCCATTGTCCCAAGATTAAAAAAACTTATTCCGATCACTTGTGCCAGATGCCTCCATCCAGGAGCTAACAATTGAAAGAGCTCACAGAGTACTGCGTCTGGCGGCCCTCAATCCCATGGCCCCCAGGGACGTGATAGTCCGGATTCTGCATTTCGCAGTGAAGGAAAAGCTAATGGCTACAACAAGAGACAACCCACCCAAGCAGCAAAACCACATATTCTCCAGGACTTGGCCCTGTCCACCCTGCGCAAACAGCAGGAACTAAAACAACTCACCAGCGCCCTCACTCAACATGGCTTCATATATATGTGGGGACACCCCTTCAAGCTGCTGCTGAAAAAAGATAACCAGACCCACACACTTTTCAATGTGCACGAAATGCAGGACTTCACCAAAACCCTGGGTCTGACCCTGCATCCCACGGTCTTTCCCTCGCTGCCGGGACCACGGCCCGAATTAAACACCAAACGTAAGGACGGACCTCTAGCCCTGCACCAGACAAGAAAGAGATTCCCTCCAAACCACATCGGATTCCCTCAAGCCTCCACCTGAAAAGGGGTCCACATCAGACCAGGGACTCTTCTATGGAACAACGGCTCCTTCATTTCAACCACCTCAGGTTATATGTCTGTTACCTGAATAAAAATGGGGACACCGTAGTGCAGGGTTCACGGGGCACTGCATTAACAACGTACTGAGGTGACGGGGATCCCGATCTACAAAGACCCAACATGACATTCACCACCAGTAGACATACCTCCCACTCCCACACACCTAATGTAACCAGAACCAGGGGTACTCAGCGGTGCCTTGGATCACGGTACAGAAGTGCCCCCACTGCCCTACCCACCATTCCAGGCATGCACACTGGACGGGGACACCGCACCACTCTTTCATGGGACCCAACAGCAGGGACACCTTGCACTGCACAGGAGGACGGAACAGCTCATTCACAGACACTGTGAACTTGAGGGAGCTGGGAGGGATTGGGCGGAGCTAGCAATTGAAACACTAACTCTCCTGGGAATCAAATTAAAGTATTCCCGAACCAATTGAATAACGTTTAGCGAAATATAGGAATGCATGTGTATATTTATATGTGTATGTGTATACTATCGTGTTTTGATATACCTGTGGCGGCCTCCTTGTCTGTGTCCTTGCTTCAGCCCAGTCACATCTCTCAAACCGAACGCTCAAATGACCCCAAGAACCCAGACACTGACGCAGCCCCCACCCTCTCCTAACCCTACACACAGTTTTCTCTATGCAATTACGGCACCCACTTACGATGTCCGGGGGAGGAAGAAGGAGTATCACGGACTCACACCATACTGCTCCACACCCCTGGTATGCCCTTTCACCCCTTCACAACCCGACCCATACCACCTACCACTCACCTTCTTAACATCCCCTCCCCCCCCTTTTACGTCCTCTAACCCAGAGGCTCTGCCCCCACAAGACTTGGCAAGTATAATAAGACCAAGTCGCTCACCCCATCACCTTCTGTCACCATTTTTTCTCCGTTTTCCTTTTCTTTCTCTTTTCGCCTCCCTCCTTCCCCCTTTTTTCTTTTTTTGATTTTCCCTTCCATGCCTGCTCCTTGCCCCTCCTCACTCTCTTCCACCCCCACCCTCTTCTTCCTCCCCACCAGGCTTTTCGCCTGATCAAAACTCCCCTTGACACTGGGAAAATCCTTGATCTTCTCAGTTAAGTCTACAACTGACACCCTGGCCACTATGCCTAACTCCATGAAATGTATGTCCATAAACTGCAAAGGCCTAAACAACCCCAGCAAATGCCACCAACTCTTACGCTGGGCAAACACAACACGAGCAGATCTACTATTGCTTCAGGAAACCCACTATGCCCAGAACTAACCATTCCCTCTCCTGAGCCAACATTATAACAGATACCCCTTAGCAAACTCTCCCACAGGAAAACAGAATGGAGTGGCAATCCTGCTACACAAATCCTGCTCGCTGAGCGTTCAATGGACCATTGCAGATCCACAAGGCAGATGCACCCAACACACCATGTGCCACTTTTTGGCAGACTCTCTAAGCCCATGTGGCGCTTTTTCCCTCCCATCATCAGATAATCGGTGGCGACTATAATGCCACACTCACACCCTCCATAGACAAAAAATGCCCCACAATACGTGGCCGCAACACCCTGGTCATGGCGCCTTAACCCCAGTCTTCTGCATAACCCACAAACCAGGTAATCCATCCAAAAAAGGACCAGAGCTATTTTAACACTTTTGTGGTGTTTAGCTGTAATTTTCCGCTCTCTCACTTACTGTTCCGATACAAAATTATCTAGTTTTTTTTCAGGACAAAAAGGGATTTCTTTACATACTATTATTTTTATCATGTCATATCATTTAATTTAAAAATAATAATAAAATATGGTGAAAAATTAAAAAAAAAACACGTTTTTTTTTACTTAAATTTTTTTTACTGATCTACAAAATCGAATGAAACAAACTGCTAAATAGATTCAAAATTTTGTCCTCAGTTTAAAAACACCCAATGTTTACGTGTTTTTTTTTTTTTTGCTTTTATTTGCAAGTTATAGGGCTATAAGTACAAGTAGGAAATTAAAAAACAATAAAGGACTACGTCACTTGGAATTCCTATAGCCTGGTGCAGCTAAAAATTACCCCAAGTGTAGTGGCACCTATTACACTTAAAACGTGATTGTGAAAAAGAGGTAGAGGTAATTAGCGCTCGCAGAAAGGAATAGATGTTACCTTATACATATAGAGATGAATCAAAATTCTAATAACCTGGTAACCTACAAATAAATACATATAACAGACATAGTGTAATCTGCATATACAAAATTGGTGAGAAAAAGATATACACATCCAACTCACAATTTCCAGAGCCTTTTTTAAAAGTTGGCTTTAAACTTATGGGGCATATCGTCTCCTCCTTGAGACACAAAGTAGGGATACGTCGGATCAGTCCTCAGGAACTTGAAGCTGGTAATATAGCAGCAGACTCCAACGTGAATATTTAAAAAGTAATAAATTTATTTCATCAAATAAAAATATATAAAATACAAAAACTATTGCACAACGCATTTCAACCAATATAGGTCTTTCTCAAGTGCATCTAACTACACACTGAACTTGAACCTGCTTTTATATCATCAGTAACAGGCTATCAATTAAGGCAAATAGATCCATATGTGTTTAAACACCACCCACTTCCATATATGGTCATAGCCGGAAGTGTCAAGCCCACCAAAAAGATGGCTGCACCTCCGGTTATGTACCATACCCTGCCGCCCTCCCAAAACATTATTAGAATATAATAATAAAAAAAGAGTAATCCCTACTACTGACAATATTAATCAACAAATTCCATTTATTTTTAATTATTCAAGCAACATAGGTACTGTTAAAAAGATTATTAATAAAAACTGGAACATTTTAAGTCAAGATGACGAAATAACAGAGTATTTGGGTTCTAAACCAAAATTTGTTTTCAGAGGCGCAAAGAATTTTAAACAAATTTTAACTAACAGTTTTATTGAAAAAACTTCCCTTAATAATAGTAATTTTTTTTTATCTAATTGGTCAAAGACCCAAAAAGGTTTTTATCATTGTGGGATGTGCAATGCATGCAAAAAACCAAATATCGAAGAAAAAAATGTAATTGAATTCATGTCTATAAATACAAAAAGAAAGTTTAAAATTAAGTCAATGATCACGTGCCACTCAAATAATGTTATATACCTTTTAAACTGTACATGTGGTCTACAGTATATAGGTAAGATGTCGAGACCACTAAAAACCCGAATAAGTGAGCACGTTAGAAATATTCAGAAAGGGTTTTTAAATCATAGCGTATCCAAACATTTTTTGGAAAAACATAACTCAGATCCAAAATTCCTCAATTTTCATGCGATAGAGAAAATAGAATTCCATTGGAGAGGAGGAGATACTGCTAAACATTTGAGTACCCAAGAAGTTAAATGGATATTTGAAATGCACACCCTAATACCTCAGGGTCTGAACATCGATTTTGAAATAAATAGTATTTTATGAGTAGTTACGTTATGATTATTTTTTAATTTTCGGTGCAATTTTTATCACACTTTATGGATTTTTGCTACATCTAATTTTATTAATATATATACCAGAACAGAATGGGTTTTTGGGTTGTATATATACTTTTTTATGTACTCCTTTCCCTTCTTTCTTTCTGACACATTGGTTATATAGTATGGTATTATTACAAAATACATCACAAAGTAGCAATAATGCAATATATGTATATTTGTAAATATTGTTAATGATCTTTATGTCTCATTATGTTCTATTTTTCCCTCTTTTTCTGTTTTTCCATATATTTGAACATTAACATCATGAACTGTGGGCTTTTTGTCCTATTTTCAAACGGACTTGATTCCTCTTCCGCCCACGTGATCTCCCTGTTCACATGACGCTACATATGTCACGGAGACGGTGTTCCGCTTGTTTTCCCACGTGACCCGGATCGATGCGTCACAGGACATGACGTATCGGCGTTCCGTTTGTTTGCCCACGCGACCCGGATCGATACGTCACAGGATATGACGTATCGGAGTTCAAAACCGGAAAGAAATTAAGAAACTACATTATGGATACACGTGTATAGCGGTCATGTTTTGGGAGGGCGGCAGGGTATGGTACATAACCGGAGGTGCAGCCATCTTTTTGGTGGGCTTGACACTTCCGGCTATGACCATATATGGAAGTGGGTGGTGTTTAAACACATATGGATCTATTTGCCTTAATTGATAGCCTGTTACTGATGATATAAAAGCAGGTTCAAGTTCAGTGTGTAGTTAGATGCACTTGAGAAAGACCTATATTGGTTGAAATGCGTTGTGCAATAGTTTTTGTATTTTATATATTTTTATTTGATGAAATAAATTTATTACTTTTTAAATATTCACGTTGGAGTCTGCTGCTATATTACCAGCTTCAAGTTCCTGAGGACTGATCCGACGTATCCCTACTTTGTGTCTCAAGGAGGAGACGATATGCCCCATAAGTTTAAAGCCAACTTTTAAAAAAGGCTCTGGAAATTGTGAGTTGGATGTGTATATCTTTTTCTCACCAATTTTGTATATGCAGATTACACTATGTCTGTTATATGTATTTATTTGTAGGTTACCAGGTTATTAGAATTTTGATTCATCTCTATATGTATAAGGTAACATCTATTCCTTTCTGCGAGCGCTAATTACCTCTACCTCTTTTTCACAAGTAGGAAATTGCTGTTTCAAAATGTAAATTTTTCAAATGTATCAATAGTGACATTGTAACATTGTTATGTCATAAATCTCCAAAATACACCCCACGTGTCTATATTTTTCTTAAACTAGATAACCCAGGGTATTCATCTAAGAATATTTTGATACTTTCTATGCAGCCATTTTACCACAAACCTTTGCCAAACTTTGCATAGGTAGTTTATTTTTTTTTATTTTTTCCCACATACATTGCAATTCAGGTATAAATTCACAGATTCTGTTAGGTGTCACTGCCAAACAACACCCCAATATGTGTTCAGCAATATCTCCTGAGTAAAGGGATACCCTCCATGTATAGGTGTGTCAGGCTGTTGAGGGGCTAAGAGGCCACATTTGGCAGGTGCACATATCAGTTTCCCAGCTTGTAATTTTGACATGTAGTCAACCTGCATGCATGTCCTATTTGGGACATTTTTGAAGCTGGCCAATGTATTTTACCCCCATCTAACCATATATTTTTGAAAAATAGACACCCTAGGGTATTTCACATGGTGGTATTTTAACACTTTGCATGCACTAATTCTACCACCAGCCGAGTCTTCAGTAATGCATTCGGTGATGTTCGTGATGACGTGAGAGGATGAGGAGAGAGGAGAGAGGACGCAGAGGCGAGTGCTGGAGATGCCGCTCCGTGAATAAGGTCTGGCTCGGGGAGATTGAAGTGGAGGGAGGACTCGGTGGTGACTTGGCGAGTTGGACGATCTGGTTTGAGGCAGTGAGGTGTGTGTCAGTCGGTGCCGGTCGGCGTTTTTGATAAGAGTCTGTTGTCTTTGTTTGGACGGATAGCGGTGGTCCCTTTATGAATTATTAAAAGGGATAAGGGAGAAAAATAACAACAGTTCCCTTATAAACCATAAAAAAAAAATAAAGAAAAGAAAGAGAGAACAAGAAAGAAAGAAAGATTAAGACAGATATAAGAAGAAAAGAAGGAAAAAAAGAGGAAAGGATATATCCCTCAGCAACTTTCCAAATAGCTTTACACAAAAATTGTGAGTACTTTTGTATATAATACAACAATATTGTAAAGCATAACATCTGTATATAATTACTGGCTTGGAAAAAAGAAAACTGTAAAGAAAAAGGAAATTTTCTTTTTGTTTTTTTGGGGGGTTTTTTCCTTGGGGAGATTGACCAATTTGACTGATTTAATTGAATTAGTTATCTGATTTTTGATCAATTTATTTAATTATTTAAGGCCAAAGCTTTATATGAGATACCTAGTTACAATCTGTGACTGAGAAGTATTTAAATAATAAAATGGCAACTAGGAAAACAGAAAAGAAGAAAGAAACTAAGTTAGTTCAGCAAACCGAAAAAAGATTGTCAGGTTTTTTTGCTACTCCTAGTAAAGACCTGCAGGAACAGATAATTGATGGTAAGACACACCCAAGTAACATCTCTAATATTAATCAAGAAGTTCCACTTAAGCAATTGCTTCAATTAATATACAAGATCAATTTAAGCAAATGTTGGAATTACAATTAAATATATTGAAACAAGACATGTTTGCAAGTTTTGATGAGATAAAACAAGAAATTAAAAATGTTGCAGTATCAGTGGTGGAAGTAGAAAAAAAATGCGAAGTGTTTGGAATTCAAATTAAAGCAATTAATACGGAAGTGCAGTTTTTGGTAAATAAAGTTGACAATCTTGAAAATAAAATAGCAACTTTAGAAGATAGATCAAGAAAAAGAAACATCAGAATAAGAGGGGTTTCTGAAGAAATTTCCAATGAAAAACTGAGAGAATACTTAAATAATTTATTCAAAGAAGTCTTACCAGAAATATCTACAGATGAATATAAAATAGAAAATTTTCACCGAATATACAAACCAGAGACAACAGCCTCACATCTCCCAAGAGATGTAATAGTGAGTTTTTCCTCACTATCAATGAGAAATAACTTAATGAAAGCCAGCCGTACTAAACCCCGAACAAATTCTATTTACAAGGACATAATTTTCTTGCAAGACTTATCCTATCATACCAGGATTTGGAGGAAATCTTTCTCTATCGTGACAAATTTTTTAAGAAAAGAAGAGATCAGATTTCAGTGGGCTTATCCAACATCTTTAAGGTTTACTTGGAAACAAGAAAAAAAAAATTTTTGGGATGCAAATGATGCAAACAGTTGGTTAACAAGTATCAACAAGAAAGCTTGAAAGGTTTGTTGCGATGGAAGAAAAGAAGAGAAAGGAAGAGAGGAGAGGAGAGGAAGAAGGAAAGAAGAGAAGAGGGAGGAAGGAGAAAGGAAGAAAAGAAGAAATATATATTATTTTTTTTCTCCACCTATATAGAATTAATCAGTCGTGCATTGTATAACTTGCAAATTTGTTGATGTAATTGGTGATTGTTTTCACTTTAAGAGTATTAACTAACTATGTATATGCACATAAACATGTGGGAAAAAAAGGAGTTAAAAGTAAACACGTAAAGTATTAACATTAATTAGATTTGAACTTAACGAGGTGGTTAAAAGTAAATTATTCACATGTATTATTAAGTTAAGAAGAAATAGATTTACTTAAAGTGAAGAATCAAAGGGTAATGGAGTTAAGCACAAAATAATGGAAAAATAATATTTTTTTTTTCTCTCAACTTATATAAAATTAATCAGCCGTGCATTGTATAACTTGCAAATTTGTTGATGTAATTAGTGATTGTTTTCACTCTAAGGGTATTAACTAACTATGTATATGCACATAAACATGTGGAAAAAAGGAGTTAAAAGTAAAGAATTAAAGGGTAATGGAGTTAAGCACAAAATAATGGAAATTTTTGTTTTTTTTATTATTGTCTTTACTTATATAGAATCAATCAGTTGTCCAATGGATAACTAACAAATTTATTGATGTAAATGATGGTTGTTTTCACTTTAAGGGTATTAACTAATTATGTATATGCAATATAAATATGTGGGAAAAAAGGGAGTTAAAAGTAAACACGACTAAGTATTAATCAGATTTGAATTTAATGAGGTGGTTAAAAGTAAATTATTCACATGTATCAGTAAGTTAAGAAGAAATAGATTCACCTAAAAGTAAAGAATTAAAAGGTAATGGAGTTAAGTATAAAAGAAGGGAACAAGAAGTGGTTTCCTTTTTTTTTCTTTTTTCTCTTTCTCCCCCCTTCGGGGAAAAATTGCAAACTTGTAAATACTACTACCTCTTTCTGGATACACCCACTTAGTGTCTAATTTAAAGACACAGTAAAGACTGAATTTCTAAATGAAAATTTACAGTCTTTGTGTTAAAAAAGGAGGCTTTCCTCCTATGATTTTAAAATTTTGTGTGTTTGTATGGTTATGTTTATGCAGCAATAGGGAAGGGTAACGATTATCGAGTGGAAAGGGATGTAGAGAAGTTTTTGAAGATAATATGATAAAAATGCTTACACTTAATGTTCAGGGATTGAATACTATAGCGAAAAGAAATTTATTGTATAAATACCTCAGTGAAAAACAATTGAATTTAATATTTTTACAAGAAACTCCATTGGAGGCAAGTGGATAAACAGAACTGGGGGGGTAAAAGATTTCCACTTATAATTCAAGCCTCTAACAATGAAAAAAAAATGTGGAGTAGCTGTGGTATTTGGAGAAAAGATTAAAGTTGAAGTAATTCATCAGATACAAGACATTAAATAATAATATGCAAAATTGACTCTGTACTTTTTACATTATGTAATCTATATCTTCCTAATCATTTACCAGTTGCTTATTTAAAAACCATTTTGGAAAAAGTAGATGAAGTTAAAGTGGGAAAGTTAATATTAGCAGGGGACTTTAATGCTGTATTGGATCCTCAAATAGATAAAAAAATTAATGAAAGGAAATACTTTAAATCAGATGGTGATAAAACAAGCAAAAGCTTTAAAAAAAAATTAAAGATGAATATAATTTATTTGATATCTGGAGAATTTTTAATCCCAATGAGAGAGACTATACGCATTTTTCTAAAGTGCATATTTCCTATTCAAGATTGGATATGATTTATTGATTATGACCAAAAAAAACAAAGATTGATGAGATAGTTTGGACAGATCACAATGGAGTTTTTTGTGAAATGATTTTCGGTACATTTAAAAAAGAAGCCTATACCTGGCGGCTAAGAGATAATTTGCTTTGTTGTGAATCAAAAAAAACTTATATAGGAAATAATATAAAAAACTACTTTAAAGAAAATATCTCAGAAAATATTGATCCATCTATTCTGTGGTGTGCCTTTAAGGCCGTTATAAGAGGTCACATTATCAAGCTACAAAGTCAGCTTGATAAAAATAATACTTTGGCATATTTACATACAGAATTAAGAAATATGACCCATATTAATAAACAATCTCCATCTCCCGAAATTTATGGAAAAATATCAGAACTTAAAGAAAAAATAAAGCAAAAGATAATGGATACGATAGCTAAAAATATGGATAGATTAAAACTTAAATATTATTCTAAAGGTAATCGAGCTGAAAAGATGCTATCCCAAAAACTTAGAAAACAAAAAGGACAAAATAAGGTAGATAAAATAATACAGAATGGAATAATAGCATCAACCCCTACAGAGATTGGAAAATGTTTTAATGAATATTATGCCAATCTATATAATATACCTCAAATTAATACAGATGAAGATATCAAAAATTATTTAAATAATATAAAGAAGTTTCAATTAACATCCACTGAAAATGATCTTTTGAATAAATCTATAACTATGGAGGAGATTATGAAAGCAATAAATGATTTAGAAAGATCTAAAACACCAGGCCCGGATGGGTTTAGCAACCTATTTTATAAAACATTTAAAGATTTAATATGTCCATATTTGACCTCTGCTTTTAACACAGCTACAAACAGAGGATTTTTACCAGCAGAGATGCTTAAAGCCAATATCTTGCCCATTTTGAAAAATGATTAAAAACCCCACTGACATCAAAAATTATCGTCCGATATCTTTAATAGATGTAGACACTAAGCTATATGCTTCGGTTTTGGCTGCCAGAATAAAAAAACTTCTTCCATTAATTATTCATAAAGATCAAATAGGATATGTTCAAGGTAAAAATTCCTATACAAGTATAAGGAAAATTATTAATATCTTGGATGATGCAAATAGAAATGATGTTCCAGTTCTGACTCTGTCGATTGATGCTGAAAAAGCATTCGACAGAGTCAACTGGAAATATTTAGAAGCCGTTTTATCACACTATGGATTGGAAGGTTGGATTAAGAAAGCTATAATGGCGTTATACGTAAATCCAGTTGCACGGACTATTGGACCTAATATTGTCGCCCCATGGTTCCAACTTAGAAATGGTACTCGGCAGGGTTGTCCCCTTTCACCCTTACTTTACTTGTTGACTATCGAACCATTGGCTGAAATATTATTAGGAATAATAAAGAGATTTACGGATATAAAATAATGGATGAGGATCAAAAAATTAGTTTATATGCTGACGACATTTTAATTACTCTCACAAACCCTAAAAATTCTTTAGAGCATATAATGCAAGAAATAGAGCAATATAGCCTTATATCAAATTATAAGTTAAATACAAATAAATCTTTAATATTAGATGTCAACTTCAATAAAAAGATGCAACAAGAGATTAAAAACAAATATGATTTTATTTGGGTTAAAGAAAGTATGGATTACTTAGGAATTAAAATAACTAGAGAGATAAATAAGATCATGGAAGTAAATTTCTTAACATTATTATTAGACCTTAATAAATGGTTAAAAGATCGTAGAAATCTAGAGATTACCTTTTGGGGACGAATAAATGTCATCAACTCATATGTCATACCAAAGTGGAATTATATGTTTCAAATGTTACCTCTTCATATTCCAATCCATTGGCTTCAATTAATACAAAGAAGTTTTACTCAATACATTTGGAAAGGCAAGAAGCCAAGATTGAAACAGTCAATATTAGTGCAGAAAATACATAAAGGTGGACTTGATTATCCATTTATAATGAATAATTTCAAAGCAGCTACTATCCTACATGTTTATAGAATGCAAATTAAAGAAAATAAAGATGAGGGATGGTATAAAATGGAAATGAAGGCAGGAGAAGTCTCTAGCTTAGATTGCTTAATTTGGAATCTAAATAAAATGTTAAAGAAAAAAAGAGTATTCTAGTATTATTTTAACTCAATTACTGAAAAATTGGTCAAAAATTAAAAAAGCAATGAATATAGAAAAAAAAGTTCCAAGTTATTTAGAGTTAGATATTGTAGAAAAACAAGTGGAAGATTTAAACTTAAACAATTGGAAAAAAGTAGGGATAATGACTTTGGATCAATTATTGATAGAAGGATCAATCAAAACTTTTGCTCAAATAACAGGGGTATATAATCTTCCTCCTAGAGAGGTGTTTAATTTTTTAAGACTTAAAAGTTATATGAATACACACCTTATAATACCAAAATCTAATTTGAGCAATTTGATTGATTTATTATTCACGTCAAAAAAAATTAATAAACCACTTTCTAAAGCTTTGATATTAATTAAATCAATGGCTAAAGATACAAACCCTATTGCCATACAGGTTTGGAAACAAGATTTGGATATTGATATTAATTTGAATCAATGGGGTTTTTCAATGATGGATGTTAAGAAAAATATACATTCATTAAACTTATTAGAAACACACTTTAAAGTTTTAAATAGGTGGTACTTAGTACCAGCTAAATTGCACAAAATTTACCCTTTAATCAATCCTATCTGTTGGAGATGTAATAGTACTAGAGGCAATTTTAGACATATTTGGTGGGATTGCCATAAACTAAAGAATCTCTGGTTGAAAATACAGCATTTTATATCCAATAATTTAAAACTCGAGTTGATGATTTCTCCAGAGGTAGTTCTGTTGCATTTGAACTGGCCTCATATGACATATGAGTTAAAAGCAATTCTTATACATCTTTTTTTAGCTGCTAAAATAGTAATTGCGAGATGGTGGAAAAAGGATTTAGAGGCCCCCTGGAAGAAAGTTAAAATTCAACTCGAGTTTCAGATTAGAATGGAGTTGATGCTAAGTAAACAAAGACTAAGTAATAAGGTTTCTGTTTGGTCAAAATGTATTGAGATGATTGATGTAGAAAATAATGTCGATCAATTAGAAGTAGAATAATTCCATGAACATTGTAAATAATTATGAGATTTATTTAAATATTACCACTCTACTATGGAAACTTTTTTGACGTATCTTTCTTTTCTCTCCCCTATTCTGCTGTTATGTCGTTTTTGTATTGTAAATTTGTATGATATATGTATTTGTATGATATATGTATTTAATAAGGATAAAAAAATAAAATAAAGATTAAATATTCAAAAAAGAATTCTACCACCAGCCTTTGTCAAACTTTTGGGTAGTAATCTTTTTTTGTTTGTCACACACATTGTACTTTAGGCATGAATTAACAGATCCTGTTATGTGTCACTGCCAAACAGCCAAACAACACCCCAATATGTTCAGCAACATCTCCCGAGTACAGTGATACCCCCCATGTATAGGGTTGCTGGGTTGTTTGGGGGCCAAAAGGCAACAATCAAAAGGCAACAATGTACATGTTCGTTTTTCAACTTGATATATAGGTATGCTAATATTCAGTTTGACATATTTTTGCACCAAATCAACACCCCCCATGTACTTATTATACGCCCTGATGCAAACCGTTTTGGACTCTACTCTGCCCCAGTCAGAGACGTCTGACATGCGTTCGTCATGGATGGTGGTTAGCATGTTGACATCCTTCCTGCTTTACATTCGCCTTTTTTAATTTTGCCTCTATGAGAGATCGTGGAAAGTCTTTGGAATTTTTTCTGGCAGTGCCGCAGGCCAGTGTCTGTAAACCATAAAGGTTTTAAACAGACGGACACTACTATAAAAATTATCCACATAAAGGTGATTACCTTTATTAAACAAGGGGTTTAGTTTCCCACTTGTCCCCACGGAGTTGACCATCTTTCCCCTCATATACACGAAAGGCAAACGTGTATCCACTTTCGCTCTCGCACAGTTTGTACAGTTTTATGCCATACCTAGAGCGCTTTGAGGGGATGTATTGTCTGAACCCTAATCTCCCTTTGTATTTCATTAGCGATTCATCTATGGATACATTTTGTTGGGGGGTAGTAAACATCTGAAAATTTGTCCTGAAAATGGTCTAGCAGTGGGCGTATTTTATGACAGAGGGTATTGTCACTGAAATTTAAAAATCTGAGCAGTAAATCGTATCTGGCTCTAGGCATGGTTTGGGAGAATACTGGACTAGACATTATTGGGTTGGTGCTCCAATATGAGCGAATCGATGGCTTCTTTATAATCCCCATGAGCATTGTAAGAGCCCAGAATTTTTTAAGCTCTGGGACATCTGTGGGATGCCAGTCATGCTCCATGACTGTATAGCTACCTGGATTGTTATGAATAAATTGGGAAGCATACAAGTTAGTCTGGGAAGCAATCTCCTCCCAGAGTATCCCCTTAAAATAGTTCTACATACTGCATTGGGGAAAAGCCATCCACATTAACATTAATGCCTGCGTTGGCACTAAAAGGGGAGACGTTGGGCTCGGCTAACTGTGGAGGTACCCAGTCCTCCTCCACAATTGGCGTAGTAGAGGAAGCACAGCTCCTTTCTTCAGCCGGCTCAGACACAGATGACATGTCGTCTTGACTAGACGTGTCAGAAAACTGACCTGGGTCAAAATCTGATGCAGTGTCAGTGGCGTCAGAGTCTGACACCAAGAAGGCATATGCCTCCTGCAAGTTATACATATGCTGCATGTTTTACACATGACTAAAACAAATTACAAACACACAAAAAAAAAATTATACTTTTTTTTTCTTTTTTTTTAACTAAAACAGACTAAACAGCAATCCCTAAACTAACTCCTGTCACAAAAATCTAATGGAGATTTGGGGGAAGGAAACTGACTGACTAAGATAGAACAAGACACAGATTTTTAAAATAAACTTAACCGTTTAAGGGCAAAAAAAAAAAAAATTACAGACAGTACAAATGCTGTAACAGATCTGGCAGGAAAGGGGTTAAAAGGTGATTTTTTTATTTTTTTTTCTAAAATAAAATACTGATACTTTCTGGTGGTCACTGAACACTGCTGCAACAAACTATCACGATCTCTGTCTCTCTCGTCTCACAAAACGCTACAGAGGAGAGAGGGGGAGAGATCACTCTCAAAGTGAGTGTTTAACACCCACTTTGACAGCAGCCAATTGTGAGCGATCGCGGATTGCTCACACTCCGCAATTGACTGTTACTATCTGGGATGTCTGGCAGATAGTTACAGCATTATACTAGCAGGAGCGATCGTTGATCGCTTCCCGCAGCCCGTTTTTCGCTATGACGGTTGTGGACCGTCAGCGGTCCAAACGCACATTTTACCGCTGACGGTCCTGAAGGGGTTAAAAGTTGTCAGATCTTGATTAGATATGATTCAAAACGCGGTTAGTAATTTCATATGGAAGAGTAAGAGACCTAGGATCAACAAAACCCTTTTGGCACAAAAGATTTAAGACGGCGGGCTGGAGTTCCGGAGTATAGGTTCTATATATTTAGCGAATGTATTTTCTTCCTTTATATAGAACCCAATTAGACAGTGTTAGAAAGGAGGGATGGTATCTTTTGGAAAGCTAGATATGCGGTATAAAAGATTTGAGCTCCACACTGGTATAGGAGCACAGATAAATAATCTTAGCATGAAAAAAACAACATATGCTTGGAATCAATATTGGAAGGATGGAAGGTTATAAAAAAGAAATGTGATATAGAAAATAAAATACCTAAAAATCTTAAACTGGAACTGATTTCATATTATGCAAAAGATTTAAATTTAAAGAGGTGGATTCAAAAAGGTATTACTCAAATAGATCAATTAATGGATAATGAAACAATTAAACCCTTCCCACAACTGATTAAAGAATTCCAGTTATCAAATAATGAACTTTTTACTTATTTCAGAGTAAAAAATAATTTAAATCAAAATATTACACGTGATCCCTATGAAGGCACTAAGATGATATGCGCATTGCTTAAAAACGAACAAGTACATAGAATAGTTTCTGTGGCTAGTAATGGTTTATTAAAATTAGAAGCACCTTTAGCTATTATGGCATGTCAAAAGTGGGAAAAAGATCTAAAAATAAAAATTAACAAGGAGGAGTGGTGTGCAGTATTACCTAGAGCATGCAAATTCATTCACTGCTTGAACTTACTTGAAACTTTATTCAAAGTAATGAACAGATGGTATCTTGTACCAGCCAGATTGGCTAGAATGTTCAACTCAAGTTCGCCAATATGTTGGAGTTGTAATGGGAGATTTGGCTTGTTTATTCATATTTGGTGGGAGTCTGATATAGTGATGGAATTGTGGACTAAGACCTTTGAGATAATAGAGAATTTAATAACTAAGCCTTTTCCCAAGTCCCCAGAGAATGATATTCTGCACTTGAATATTAAATCATTACAATATAATGAAGCATATATATTCATTAATAGTGATGTCCCGAACGGTTCGCCAGCGAATAGTTCCTGGCGAACATAGCGTGTTCGCGTTCGCCACGGACGGCGAACATATGCGATGTTCGGTCCGCCCCTATTAATTTACTAATACTAAGTAAAAATTACTTAGTATTAGTAAATTGTGCCCCTACTCGCAATACCGCGAGTAGGGGCATGTCTATTAAACAGTGAGCAGCCTGTGGGCCAAATTGATAATGAGGGGGGGACCTACTGCCCCCCCCAGCCCCCACCCCTGGGCGGCGGGTGGGGGCCACAAAGATAATGAGGGGGGGACCTACTGTCCTCCCCCCCCGGCCCCCACCCCTGCGCGGCGGGTGGGGGCCATATTGATAATGAGGGGGGGACCTACTGCCCCCCCTGCCCCCAAACTTACCATTCGACGTCTTCTTTTTTCTCAAATCTTCTTTTTTCAGCCCCAAAAAAGGCCAACTAAAAAACCATCATAACCGTTGAATTGAAAATAAAATAAAAATCCCGAGCGTTCTTTTGAATTTTCCCACACTGTGTAAAATGACAAAGAGCACTCTGATTGGCTTAAACCCACCAATCAGAGTGTTCTTAGCCTAATTGCAGGGCGTGGCAAGGCTTTATAAGCCTTCCCCCGCCCTGCAGAGCTCAGTCTGCGCGGAGCCCTCCATGGGTGAAGATGGATTATTTTTTTGCGCTCAGGTTTTTTCTTTTTCGTCGGGTTTTTTTTTTGCGCTCGGGGTTTTTATTTTATTTTCAATTCGACGGTTATGATGGTTTTTTTATTTGGCCTTTTTTGGGGCTGAAAAAAGAAGATTTGAGAAAAAAGACGTAGAATGGTAAGTTTAATTTTATTTTACAGGTTAGTTATTTTATTCCCCCCTCACTATTTTTTTAGGGTGAGGGGGGGTAGGTAGGGACTTTTTATTTGGGGGGGTGACTAGGGGCTTGGGGACCCCTAGTCACCTTGAGGGGGGGGATTTACTTAGGGCCCCCACCTGCAGCCCAGGGGTGGGGGCGGGGGGGAGGACAGTAGGTCCCCCCCCCTCATTAGTCTTTGTGGCCCCCACCTGCCGCCCAGGGGTGGGGGCTGGGGGGGGGGCAGTAGGTCCTCCCCCTCATTATCAATATGGCCCCCACCCGCCGCGCAGGGGTGGGGGCCGGGGGGGGCAGTAGGTCCCCCCCCCCTCATTATCAATATGGCCCCCACCCGCCGCGCAGGGGTGGGGACAGGGGGGACAATAGGTCCCCCCTTATTGTTATTAGGGCCCCCACCCACGCTCAGGGGTGGGGGCGGAGAGGAAGTGGTCTCCCCTTCAACCAATAAGAGTCCCTGTGGGTTTTAAAATTCGCCTGCCCATTGAAGTCTATGGCGGTTCGTCACGTTTGCGACATCACTATTCATTCATTTTATGGTAGCAGTTAAGATAAATATTGCATGAAACTGGAAAAATGCCACACCCTTCTCTTTAGATAAGGTGCTATCCCAAGTTAATTTTCAACTAAAGATGGAAGCACAATTATATAAGTCACAAGGAAAGGATCTAAGGAAAAAAGAAGTCTGTGAGTTTTGGAAAGATAAAATAAAGTTATGATAGGTTGGCAGAACCTGAGTTCAAAAGTATACAGTGTACGTATAAATAGATATGTCAATGTTTTTGAGTACATCAAAATATCATTGTGTACATGTATACATGCTTTATTCACTTGTTAGCGTGCATTAAATTTAAGAGACAGGGACCCCCAAACTACTCCTTGCTGGCGTGTAATTATGTTTTTAATGTAATTGGTAATATAAGTCTGATAGTTGAGCATGTTATAGTTTTAAGTATGTTTAAGAAATAATTGCAAATGAGACCATATGTAAATTAGGATTATGATATGCTCTTCTATGTATGTGAATGCATATTTGTTTGTTTATGTAAAGTAAATATACAAGAAATCAATAAAATATTTATAATAAAAATTTTTTACAAAAATCAAATGGCTCACTCTAAGTTTCCTGTGGAATTAATGAGCTGCACTTTGTTGCAAAGCTGTGCGTATAACAATTTCTCTTTGCAGGCCAAGTGCAAGCTGCAAATGCCTTTTTAAAGGCACTGTTATAAAAAATAGTCGAAAAGGATGCCAAGGTCAACTGTCTATAGATCTCCCAGCTGATGTTGCAGGTGAGAGGCTGATTCATGGTTGGCTAGTTTTTTCTACTTTTCGATATCAATGCATTGCAAGTATACAGCTCATAGTTCAGAGATATAATAGAAACATGCTAGAGTTACATCATTTTCTTGCTTTTAGTTTACTCGCGCATCCTGGGAGACAGCAGGGGAAGTGGAGGAAGAGGAACAGAAGTAGCAGCAGATGCAATAACCGCTCACAGCTTTATTCATCATGCCCTATTTCACAATTCATTGGCATGCACCAACATACACATCAAAAACAACAATCTCAATGGCACACCACATCTGCATCATCAACACAACTCGCATTACTAACATTCTCACAAAGCCATATCCTTTACAACTTCCATCACCAAAACTATAGACAGTGGACTTCACCTATTCTCAAAGAAGAAGAAGAAAAAGAAAACAAACACAAATTAGACATTACCATTTAGAACACACACAAAATAGGATACACAAACCAATACATCCAGAAACGACTCAGAAATACTGCCACGCATCCTCTTCTTACGTATGTACTAAACCTATCACCTAGCACGGTTCATATGCTTCACCATATTAGTCTAATGCCTGCTCAATGTCTACAAGCTAGCAGTCCAATACCACATCCACCCAGAGGATTTGTTTTTTATTGTATCAATTCCAACCAATACCGAAATGCTTACACCTACTGTCTTTTCATATGGGTTCTCATTTGCAATGGCTCATCTAAGCCCCATGACCACCCTTTCAAAATCTTGTTTTAAAGCATACAATCCATTTCAAGAAAAAAAAAAAAACTTTTTCCACATGTTTCTATTATCAAGGTGTCTTTCAATTGTTTTTCTTTCAATTGAAGCAATCCTCCCTTTTAATCTATCCTCAAATGAAAATGACCTCTGCTGGTTGATCTGTGTATTGCTATCAGCTATATAATTCAAATTTTTTTCCCCACGCAGCGTTCTGGTCTCCCCTCGACTGGCCCTGCCTCTATAGCTGAGATCATCAAGCTTGATGATCTCAGCCAATCCAATGCTTTGCCATAGGATTGGCTGCAAAACGCCACTCCAATCAGCATCTCCTCACAGAGATGCATTGAATCAATGTATCTCTATGGGGAACGTTCAGCACCTACAGAGTGTGGAGGCCCTGAATGTAGGTGCACTAACACAGGAAGCACCTCTAGTGACCGTCTTAGTGACTGTCACTAGCAGTGTCACTTTGAAGCAATGTAAACATTCCCTTTTCTCTGAAAAGTCAGTGTTTACGTTGAAAAACCTGTAGGGACATGCTATAGACACCAGTACCACCACATTAAGCTGTGTGTGTGTGCATCTGCTAGTGAGTGAGCTTGCTTGCATGCATGTGCCTGCTAGTGAGTAAGCTTGTGTTTTTATGTCAATGAGCTGAGTATCAGTAAGATTGTTTGTCTATGAGGCTGTGTATCAATGAGCTTGTGTGTCATTGAAATGTCAGTGAAATTGCCTGTGTCTGCATGTGAGTATGCTTACTGTATAATTAAACGTTTTACCCTGAAAGGACCAATATTTTATATTAGAAAAAGCAATATATATATATATATATATATATATATAATTACTCAATCATCTGTCCTGGCAAGACATAGCCTTACATATTACACGCGACAATATATGGCGCAGTGACTTATGGGGCTGGCACAATTTTTTTTTTTTCCAGGGCTGCTTTGTATCCCCAGTCTGGCCCTGATCAGGCAGATGGTGAAGAGGAAGGTGAGCAAGGAAGCAGCAAGGCAACACGAACCAGACCAGCTGCCCTATGAAGAGGAGCTCCTGCAGTTCCTGAGAAGAGACAACCTCCTTGGGATTGAGGGGACAACTGGCACTGAAACATCTGAAGGTATGTTGTTAAAGGACCACTATAGTGCCAGGAAAATAAACTTGTTTTCCTGGCACTATAGGGTAATTAGGTCCACCCCCAAAACCCCTTCAGCCACTTACCTTTCTCCAGCATCGGGCTTCCTCGGCGCTGGGGAACACTCTGCCTATGTCAGCTCCGAATGCGAATCAAGAGCCGCGTGCGCATTCAAACCGCCCATAGGAAAGCATTACTCAATGCTTTCCTATGGACGTCCAGCATCTTCTCACTGTGATTTTCAGAATCACGGAAGCGCCTCTAGTGGCTGTCAGTGAGACAGCCACTAGAGGCTGGATTAACCCTCAGTGAAACATAGCAGTTTCTCTGGAACTACTATGTTTTCACCTGGCACCCAGACCACTTCATTGAGCTGTCCTTTAAATTCATATTTGTTAGTCAAAATGTACATATACCAGTTTTCATGTGTTAACCCTACAATGTTGTTTTCTATGCCATCAGTGCAAGCCCCTGAATCCCCAGAAGAGGCACCAGGAACTGCAGGAGATGCTGTCTCCATGGAGAGTAGGGCAGCAGGTTCCTGTCATGCAGAAGAAACAGGAGATTCTCTACCTGGGGACGCTCGGCCACGATACATGTAGTGAGATTAGAAAGAAAGGGAGGCACAAAGAGATGCATTGAGGGGTCATAAAGAGACAGAGAAAGGGCTAGGGGGGACAAAGATGCATTACTATACTCAGACATAATAATAAATTAATAGCATGACTGCATATATCTTATTTCCAAGTTTAAATAATATTGTTGTACAGATAATAGTTAGCATTGCAACATATGACATGTGCTAACAATGTTCTTTCTTTGTTCTCCCCTATAGGTTGTGATGGTGCTCTCCCCCTACAAGAGGAGGGTACCATTACCCTAACAGCAGTGGATCCTGATTCAGTGACATCAGTGGCTGAAGAAATGCCGTTGCCACAACTTCCTCCACAATTGGCTGCGCTGTATGCGACGAGAAGAATGCACTCAGATGTTTATTTCTCATTATCATCCACAATGTGAACACAACTGACGCTGTTCATCATAGGTTATTACATTCTCAATTTTCTCCTGGTTTTCCCTATCCTTCCCCTGAAAAATACATTGGTTCGCATTCTCCTCTGCACTATTTCCTCCCAAGACTGCTCCTAACAACCTGGGCTGCCTCTGCTTTTTTGCTTCTCCCACTTGCTTTTCTAATTAAAAAAAAAAAAAATAGTGGATTACCACTTCTGACTCCTCTTTTCTTTAATTAATTTTATATGTATTAAGGCCATTTGGCCTGTATTTGTGGGAGGGGCTTAATTAATTCACTACCCTATATAAGGGACTCCATATCGCTTGAGGTCAGCGTCAGAATGATTTCCACTTCCGGGTCATCCAGACACCATTTTACCTAATTACTCCATGAGGTTTTCTAAGCTAAGCTGAGCTGTGTCAGGAATCCAGCCACAGGCTTTTCCGGCCTACCACCTTCTTTCTTCAATCTATCGCTGTGGATGGTGTCCAAGTGACTCACAAACCATAAGTTGACCTACCCGTTACGCCAGGCATCAGTCCCATGGGTCAGGTCCTCACTTTACGGCTGCATTTTGTTTAAGTCTGTTCTAACCATTGCTTGTTCATGCATATCATTCATTTAAACTCACTTGTTTATATCTGTCTCTGGCTAATTTGGAGCATTAGCATACTCCCGAACGGGAACACATTCTGTTTCAATTGCCTAAACATACTAGGCATTTCTGTGCATGCATTTTGAATCTCACTGCTTGTTTCGTTTTGTTTCCCTGACATACCAGGTTCACGGTTCGTGCAATTTTCTACCAAATGGGAACTAGTTCATGCAATTACTATTGTACTACACACACACACACGTTTCGTTCGTTTACAACCCATGAACAGAACACTGGTTTGTTACAATGACTGTTATTAAGCTATTAAGTTCACATATTGTATATTGTCGAACGGGCAGTGTTCGTTTCCCTGTCATACAACTATAATGCTCATGAACAATGTTTTACATAAACCACACTGACACCTATAGGTCACTCTCAAAATCTCACGTTAACATTATATTTGGATTAAAGGGTATTTTTACCATATAATCAGCATTTCTGACTCCTACTGGTCAACAGCAAAACTGTCTTCACATGTCATATACAATTTACCAGCCAATATAAATTACACGTAAGATTGTTTTAAACATAACCATAAACCATAAATTGAACTCCAGCACAGGCTCAACTTCAGGTTTAATTCACAATAATTTACATTTCCCATCAAGACCAACAGTGGTTCTACCAACACTGCCACCTACAGGTCTGTCAAGTACATTGTAAAACCCCATGAAAATTGTCAAACACCAAAACACTGACCCCTATAGGTCAACAGACAAACAACATTTCACATACCAATCAGTATCCAACTACACTGCCACCTATAGGGCACTCTGCAGATCTACAGTGCACTTGCATTTTTCAACACCATGTTCAATGACCCCTACCATTCAATAAGACATACAGCAATTCACATAGCATAGTATATCAACATCTGGTATAAATACACATATTACACAGTAGCAGACACATCTGTATATACGTTACTGATAATATAGTTCACATACATTTTTCACAGCACGCTGCTCACACAACAGACTTTCCCCTAGTAAGGGGACATACAACATACAAGGTGGGGACAGATCACTTTTTTACTTGTACACTTAATGGGTTAAGATTGATACATATTTAACTAGTATGGCTATGATGTTTAATATTTACACATCACGGCACTTTACTTTTCACATATACTGTACGTATTAAGATAAGCTTATATTTCCTTATGCCATACGTTTTTTTCCATTCAGGTTACAGTTACTACTAAAAAACCTATACAAATTGTCAGGTTCAATACCATACTACCAGGTACATACAACTACTTACGTAGTTATCCATCTCTTACCTTCCCTGGAATAGTAATAGCGTACTGGCAATTAGGGTTCTAGGGCCCAATAGGTATTACCCCCTTTTTCCTCTGCATTATACTTTGGTTAGTGGTCCCGTGAGGCCAACACCCCTCGGGCCACTCGTGAACTAGCCGCCTCGCATTGTATTATAGAGAGGGCCTCACCTGTCACTCCCCTTCCTATATTCTGGTTACTGTCACGGAGAGGCCAACATCCTGCCACAATGTTCGGTGGCCACAAAAAATCCCCTCGCGCCAACGCATAGATAGAGCCTCTCAAGCCACTTGGCAACTAGCAGGGCCTCACCAGTCACCAAAAAACACCAAGCCTAATCGTTTCGCCTTACGGCTTAGCTAGCAAGCCAGTACAAGACCCCTGGTACAAATAATAATTGCAATCTTTATTGTTATTTAAGTATTTCTCAAAAAGATGGCAAAGAATCACATCTTTGTAGCACCCCGGCTAGAATTGATACACCTTCAAGCAGAAGAGATGTTGCTAGTCCAGCAGCAATCAGATCCTGGACGATCCCACACATTACCACCGACCTAAGGAGGCGACAAATCCCCTACCCTGCCTCAGCAAGGAAAGCAGAGTTATTCAAAATCCTCCACACAGCAACGGACAACACGGAGGCAGGGGAAGGCCCAGCAACACCAACTCAGGTGACACCCAGGCCATGCTAGCCTCACTCATGAGCCAAAAAATTTACAACAGACTGGCAATCTCGAGTCGGTCACCACAGCCCTCAAAAGGCTGGGCCTCATGCTACTGTACAACCAACACCAACCTAAACTCTGTTACCAGGTACAATCAATTCACATGACTCACAAGACGTTAACCCTGCACATATGATCCCAGCACATTGGGGAAACAAGGCATATATATGTATGATGATGTATCTGTGATGGCCAGATCCAGGGATTGCAGGTAAATCAGGAACTGACCATCCCTTGGTTGTGTTGGCATTTGGAATATGTAGAGATGTTTATTTGTGCAGGTACCCATACAGAAGGGATTTTGTCCCAAACAAACGGATGAGCACTCTCAGGCTCCAGGTACCAGCACCTCTGAACTACCAGAGACAATTGGTATGAGTAGTTGCATTGCATATAGACTGTTGCATATATGTTCAAATGGTTCAGGGCACATGACAAAGCATGTGTCCCAATACAACTTAAACAAAAAACATACTCACCATCTGTACACACCAATGCCTTTTCAACACTACTGACTCATCACCCTTCCAGACTTGTAGTAGATTTACTAAAGCTCTGGAGCTTCAAAGGGCTCCCATACAGGTATCATAAATACAACTTCAAGGAATATAGCATGCCCTCACTTACAGTAAGCACAACAGAACCATCGGCTGTAAACACACTCATAGCCAAGATTTGCAGAGGGGTTTTTACTTGAGTTTTCCAATCTCCACCATTTACAGCATGGTGCCAAACACAAACACATTGGTATTGTCACAAGGAAATCTTTCCTTAAACAAAGACTAACGATAGACTTATTGGCACCACACACCTCCGCTACCCCAAGTCTCAACTCCCTCATACCCTCCGAGGAGTTTCCTTACTATACAACACCATTGATCTACCTTTACAGCTATCACTCAAGCATGAGTTGAAACTTGGTTAAGTAAGACCAATTTTATCAACGCAGTAAACGGCTACCATCTACCCTACACACTGGCACTTACATGGCATAAATTGGGCAATCCTTTCCCCGCTCAACTTTCGAGCTACAGATTAGCCTACTATCGATATTCGCAGATACTCTGTGCTGGTTATGATAACATATCCAGAGGCCTTACAGTCATACACTATCTAGAAGACTTCTTGTTGATCAAAGATAACATATTTTTCACTAGAAGCCTCACGGCAGCTTAGTCTGGTTGACCACTTGGGCGTCCCAGTACCCCACAAGAAACAGAAGGCCCAGACACTATCATCACATTACTGGGCATATGACTTGAGTCGGCATCCATACACGCAAGTTACCACAAGACAAATAGGGAACATTCTCAACTAAATCAATCACTACCTCCTGCTTAGTACTTACAACTACAAGGAACTACAATCCCTACCAGGTTCCTTAATTTTGCCATGCCAATCATACCACAAGACCACACTTTCACATCCAGAGTACTTTCCTTTTTTTCCACACTTCCAACATGACGATCAGAGGAGGTGCCTAGACACCTCAGCAACAGCAGACCTGCACATGGGGAGGGGATTTCTTAACCACTTTGCATGGTAAAAGCATGTTCCTTCCAGGATTGTCTGACACTTTTCCAACCAGATGGTCAGACGCAGCATATACCACGGGTTTGGCAGCAATCTACCGGGAACAATTGCTTTGGGGTTGTTGGCCATGGCATCCAGGTTTGGAAATTTTTCCACCACTTCAGCCCCTTTGGGAGATCTACCCCATTGTAGCAGCTGCTGTGGCATGGGTAAATCATGGTCAGGGTCATCAATCCGTTGTTACTCAGACAACTAAGCACATATCATATCATCAACAAACGCCACTACTCATCCATAAGTTCATGATGTTTCTGGGAAACTCACTTGGTTGGCCACTTATCACATTTCACTTTCATGTACCAGCAGACCTGCACATGGGGGGGGGATTTCTTAACCACTTGGCATGGTAAAAGCATGTTCCTTCCAGGATTGTCTGACACTTCTCCAACCAGATGGTCAGACGCGGCATCTACCACGGGTTTGGCAGCGATCTACCGGGAACGATGGCTTTGGAGCTGGTGGCCATGGCATCCAGGTTTGGAATTTTTCCACCACCTCAGCCCCTTTGGGGGATCTACCCCATTGAAGCAGCTGCTGTGGCATAGGGTAAATCATGGTCAGGGTCATCAATCCGTTGTTACTCAGACAACTAAGCACATGTCATATCATCAACAGATGCCACTCTTCATCCATATGATCATGATATTTCTGGGGAACTCACTTGGTTGGCCACTTATCACATTTCTTTTACTTTCATGTACCAGGCGGGGGCATACATCCTTGCCGACAATTGTCTCATTTATATTCCA